CTACACAATTCGTTGCTCAATCCCGCGCTCATAAAATTTCTCACAAAAAATGGATTTCCATGCTGATACTAAAAAGCACGGATGCAATTTCAAGCCAACAAAAGAGCAGTTCCTTCGATTTTCATACGTGAGATTCTCAACCTCTTCATAGGTTTTATAGAAACACCGTCCGCAGTCTTCAGTTAAAAAAAATACTTTTTTTCCAAGATTTTATTAACGCTTTTTTTACAAAAACAACCCTTATTAGAAAAATCAGGCTGAGATTTGCCCAAAAAATGAGAACGACATAAAAAACAAAGCAGGCTGAAACTCACAAAACTAAAGACATAAAATGCACACAAAAATTGGAAAATGAAAGAATAGCAACATAAAAACTGAAAGCCGTAGGCAAAGTTAGACCAGACGGAAAATGAGGTAGGGGTAACATGGAGCTGAACTTTATTAGGTAATGTTTTTCCAATGTAGAGTTTTGTTCTGAATAAGAAAATCTTTGGTAAACTTACAATACCCGCTGCGTTTACCATATATGGGCATTTTTCGAACCGGGTGTATGGTAATCAATTTTTCGCAAAAACATGTTAAAGTTATATGAGGAATTTGTAAATGAACGCATCCATGAAGCAATCAAGCATCAACAGAAACAAAGATCCATGAAGCAACCACGCGGCAAAAGTTGGCACTTTTCAAAAATGCCGGAAAGAAAAATGTGCTCAAAGTTCAAAACAAGCAGCAAATGATTGAAGCCAATAGGAATGTTCTAGGAAAACTCCTAGCCCTCTCAGCAAAGAGTGACAAAGCAATGGACTTTTAGGAGGCATTGAAATTTCCCCAGCATTCTTTGCCGTTATGCCTAGCATTTCCAGACGGTTCCCGAATGACAACAGCAAAGAGTCAATTCATGGAAGTTATTCTTTTTTCTTGCAGCGATTCTACTGACCCCAAAGATGTTGATTAACCTGAAAGAGCCACTTCAACATATCTTGTGGACCTCGTGGCTTTGGTACGTACAATGCCTAGTTTCTTTGATACCTACCACGACCTGGCAATGAGCTTTTTTGATAAGGCTCCCAGTTGGTTTCAATCGTATTGACATTGAAGCAGATACATACGGGGAAATATCTTCAAAAGATCCAGAGCGTGAAAAGCGTGGTATTGCTGACAGAGTCATTGTAAAATCACCCAAATCAAAACTTCTTCAAGACTTTGCCAATTTCCTAAAAAGCGGAGAAAATAAGACACGGCTGATAGAAATCGTGAAGGAAGAGGTTACTGCAAATAAAGAGACATTGCTTCAGAAATTATGCTACCAGATCACAACCTCGGATGTTTTTGTTGTTGAGCAATTAAGCAGCAATCAAGAAGAAGCAGACACCAAATTGTTACTGCAGGCTGTACACTCGCTTTCCAAGAATGCCGATGCATCTGTGGTTGTTCGTTCTTCACTGTCAGGGGATGTTGATATCAATATATTGTTTCGTAGTGTGTTCTTAGAGAGTCCCGAGAAGGTAATAAGTGATTATGGCAGAGGAAATTTTAGGAAGATTCTGCAGCTAAGTTCTACTGATATGAGCGATGAACACAAAAAGGCTCTGATTGGCTTCCACTCCTCCACAGGTAATGACTATGTCTCTTTATTCTTTAGCAAGTCAAAGAGTCACTGTTGGCAAGTCCTTTAAAAGAATAACAGACTTGTTCATGTTTTTTCGCGGATAGGAGCTAAGTGGAGTATTGTTGACGATCTGCTTTCAAAATTGGAGGAGGATATCTGTAACAGTTTTGGAAAGGAGAAGAAAGACGTAAATGCAGTTCGTTACGAGATTTTTAAGAATGTTTATGAAAAGAAAGGAAAGATTCAAGATTTGTCTTTGCTGCCTCCATGTCGACAATTATTGCATTTGCATTGCCAGCGATCAAACTACATCGCAGAAGTGTGGAGGTCCTACAAGCAAACATTGACTTTTCAGATATTGGGCAAAATGGATGGTCTGCGGACGCAAAAATAGTCTGGATAGATGCTGCTTTCCCTGAAAAGGTAGAGCAAATATAACATGAAAACGACAATTTAAACATAACAAGGGTTAACAATGGACTCCCCCTCCCGCCATTCACTAAAACAGTTTATCAATGTTGCATTGATAGGTTACTTGAGATTCTGATAACTGGTTCCGTACTGATTTTGGGTGTTCCAAAAAATTTTCATGACTTATCAATTAAAAAACAGAACGATCACAGGATAGGACACATGGGTTGACAAAGGGCTAGCTTCTAAGGCTACAGAATTAGTTTTTTTGCTGTCACAATTATGACGTATACGTCAGACCAAAGAAAAATAGCATTTCTTTGCACTTGATCATCAAATGTATCCCAATTTTATGTTGGTTTGGGACTGCTAGTCAAAAGTTAATAGCTGAGACAGGCAGATTGTCTTATATGAAATCTTTACTTCGATGTGCTGTACAAATGTAGATTTTCTTTTTGTAGTAGCCTCATGAAGAAGTAGTAGTGTAGTAGCCTTATGAAGTAGTGAACTAGTATGTGTATGTGTATTTGTGAACTGGTTTAGTAGTCTTATGAAGTAGTGTAAAGAAGTAGCAGTTTAGGAATAACTGGACACATGGAGTGGTTACTTCAGTGCACTGTAAATATTTTGATTTTCTTTTCGAAACATCCTCACGATTTTTAAGAAGACCAAGTTTTATCACATGATGGATAGAATAAGGAGAAGCATCTGATTTTTTTTCTGACAAATCTAAACAGCAGTTTGAAATTTTTGCAGACTGTGTTTTAAACGTCATTAAAGAATGACAAATATTAAACATACGTGACACGTGACGGAAACAAAGAGACTTAACATATATTGCTGTTCGTTTGACAGAGACGTGAGATCATTTGACCTTGAGATTAGGTGTCCTTAATATCAACGAATGAATTATTGATAAAGTTTAACCTGCACTTTAAAAGAATTGCCATTTATGAAACAGCTGGCCTTTTAGATGTATACAGTAAAGAAGAAATGAGCAGATGACGCAGGTAGACGCTGAAGAAGACAGGTTTTAGGAAATTTGCACAGTCTAGATGACAAAATGTGATAAGAAATAACCTTATCACCTGTTTTTCTCAGTACCAGGACTCAAATAAGATTCTGTAAACAGTTCAACGCAAGGATCTTTAGTTTCTTCACACCGCTGAAGCATACTGCACAGTTGCAAGCTCGGTAAAAGTTTTAAAAACAAAAGTTCTTTCAATCTATCAACAAATTGCACACTCCAAACATCATTGGAAGAAAACAGCAAAAGCCAAAATAGAACACAGTAGGCCCTGACTAACGTAACACAAAGTTAATAATGCCCTAAATTATTTTATAGATTGGTCCTGTACCAGTTTCATCTACCTAACGCGTATGCCCGACGTACAGTTAGATGGTTCTAGTGTTGGGCGTCGTCGTGCAAACGTTGCTTGTGATCTGTATGCTATACATAAATATGAAAACATCTTAAATCCAGATTCAACAAGTCCTTCACACAAGAAACCTTCCATATCAGAGAATTTATCCTATGATCACGATAGTTTGCTGTACAATTTCAATGTAATGATACCGGTCTAATGAGCACTGAGTTTGAGAATTCCTGAGATAACAAACTGCTTTTTGCTTCCCTTCGAAGATCGTTATATTGGGGTTCCATTTGACGCTATTGGGGACCAAAAGCGAGAGATAAATTACCCTCATCCTATTCAATTTTCTTCCATGTCTTTTCCATTGAATCTGCACTACACAAGTCCGGACCCATTGTCATTCAAAAACCAAGTTGTCATCCAAATAACCGAAAAAGAAAGGGGGTAGACGCTTCCCCACACAAGCCCGGACCCCTTGTCATCCAAAAGCCAAGTTGTCATCCAAATAACCCTTTATGTTCCTAAAGCAATTCTTTTAGTTACCGGCATTCCTTTTCTGTGCTTAATATAGAAGGACGTTGTTTTATTCTATTTAAACATCTTCGTTCCAGTTTCTGTACCAGTTTCTTCTGAATAAAACATCTTCGTATCTAAAGTATGGAAGATAAATGGCCAACCTTTTCTACGATTAAAATATTTCGAAATATATTAGCAGAAGAAAAGCAAACCATTATTAAACGATGTATTAAAAATTTTTCACCTTTCTATAAAGATTGTAAAAGCTAATAATTGAAACTTTCCAGATTTAATACGTTTAAAATCATTTTCACGTAGAAACAACGCCATAAAAGGTCAACATTCAATTTTTTTGAAGTCAACGCACTTTAATGTTATGAAAATTGTTAATTAACTATCCTGCATGATCCAAATGTTTGCACATGTATATGATACTAAATTGTTTAATAGTATACAGACTGTATTTATTTTATAGCAGACATGACAAAAATGTGAAACAAAGATCAAATACACAGCAAAGATATAATTCAAATGGTGGAGTTTTATTGCAGATGAGCGGAGAATACACTGAATAATAACAAAGTTTTGAGTATCACAAAACACTGAAAGTATTTCCGGTGTTATTGGGAGATTGCAGACATGTGCCACAGGCGATCTTACATCCGAAGCAAATGAAGAAAAGAATGAATTGAATTGCGACAAGACAGCTCAGACAGATACTTACAAAAGAAAATCGAACACGATGTAGCTGCCGTAACAACATCAAGATTACTGCTAGAAATAAGTTTTTTAAATGTCTGGTTGTGCATAGAAAGGTGATTAGTTTCTGGACCAAGAATTTAATGTCCGATACAGATGCAACGAAAAAAATCACAATGGTGCAAGCGCACTTTACAATTTACGGTCAAATTTTCCGAAAAGTTTAAAACCAACGGAACATGGTAAGATTCCATAATAGGAACAGAAGGATAGATTCATTGATGACATGAATTTTAATGCTATCTAGCAGATATGTAAGTAAAGGTGGATGGCTGGGAGAAAGGCAAGTGCCCAAACGATTGAGGAGTGTGGCAACAGAAGAGGAAATGAACTTGAATCTGGAAACTTTTTTAAAAAAAATCCCATACACAGATACTAATACACAGCGTTAGGTCTAAGTATCCTTGTATTTATGGCTATATACTTAATACGAAGGAGTGTCAGGAGTGCTGGATGAATAGATACACACTTGGGTAAAGGAACTCATACCAAAACTGACAGGAAGTGTTCCAGATTGAGCTCTTTGTAGCTCAGTTGATGCAAGCAATAATTTAGCCATCACTGATTTGTGTGTTTGTTGTTGATTATTCTCGTCGCGTTGCGGTGTTCCTTATATATTACTATATTAAGCAATAATTTCCTTTATATGGAAAAAGTACAATGAAAAGAATCATATTTAAAATTCCCATGATTTGAGATTCCACCAAGTGGATAGTTACTGACAATTCTACATACATATTTATCGATATAAAAAGATACAAGCCTGTATAAAGCTTGCAAGATCCATCAACTACGAAAAAATCAAGCCGTGACACTCTTCTTTGCAGCTAACCTAGCCCTAGCAGCCTCAAGAGGAACCAATGGTTCTTTTGTAACAGTTCCTTTGTATTTCTTACCAACAAGTTCAACCTCGACCTCAGTGCCAATATCTTGAAAGATGGTCGGAAGATAAGCGTATGCTATACTCTTTCCAACTTGATAACCAAACGCACCAGATGTTGTATTGCCAACGACCTTTAAAAAGTAATGTCATCTTCAGACATCTTCAGGTAACTTTTCTTTACAATTGTTTGCATGTAAACCAAATAATAAATCAAAGACAAAGCATCTGGCAAAATAGTAGTTTACTCACAACGATCATGTTAAATGTGAGAAAACATTTCTAAATTCGCACGTTGATACAAATATGTTGCATGAATTCAACAAAAAATCATCGGCCTATCAGATAATTCAAAAACTTTTGCTTATAAAATGAGTTAGGCTAGTGAAATGTTTATAAATAGGAAGGAACGTTATACGGAGAGCTGTTATCGTAGTTAATGAAGCCACGATACTGCATTTACAAGTAGCGAATTAATTACCCTAGTACGGTCTGGTAAACAACCCCTGGAGATTAATTGTCACTTTGCTTATATCTTATCAGAGTGCTCCACTCGGGCGAGAGATTTTCAAAAAAGCTATCCGGTACGTTTTCATACAACAGTGAGAGCAAAGGGGGTGCAACATACACGGTTGATGCCATGTGAACAGAGTACCAAGATTTCTAAGCATAGAGAAACCCAGAAATTTCAAATAGCATCTTTTCCACGAGACTCTTACACGAATACACAAAAGGATAGAACAACGATTATTTCATTTCGCGATTATTTCAGGTGACCAATGTACACTAACATATTGGTCCGCGGTACCCCAGCAATACCAGAAAAATGCTGCAAGTAACCAGCGAAAATACGTCAACAAGAACCCCCAAGTTCCTGACCCTTTATCGCAGCAAAATATGGATACCATACGCCAGGCGGAATAAACACCAGTCTTTATCAAAGTATATTGAGGAACACACGTAAATATTTAAAGAGTAAAAGTTGCCAGGTCATTAAGCATTGGGGCCGTCCTGTTCTTTAAACCAAAGCGTGTACATCTCTGCATACACGGCATCAAGCACCCAATGACGGACTGGCAAACAGTAATTTCATTACAAATTTATAACTACATTCATACACTTATTAATGATCTCTTTAGCACCTTCATTTTCTATTGTAAATTCTTAGCTCTTACCACCAGCATGTAAATAGGCATTATGTCAGGTTTCTATTTCAGATGTATCACGAATTTAAAAATGCAAAGAAAGGATTATAATAGAAAGAAGCCGAGATTACCCTTCCTTGATACCAGATTGTTTCGTTTCCTTCTGCGTCGATATTATCAGTGTCAAGTGTTAGACAAACCAGTTTCTTCGTCAACAACGTGGATTTCTGTTTGAGCAGCGCATCTCTTCCAATAAAATTGACTCCCTAGTGCGAAAATATTCAATTTACGCTAAAGGCAATGAAGTATAAAATCTATAGTTACATCTGCACAATAACTATGCTTATACTATCTTTAAAATGTTAGGTTTATTCCAAACTGAGAATAATGTAATGATAACTACAGTTCTAGTATTATAAACCGAGATTAATGTAGTGATCGACGGCCCTAGTTTTATATACCGAGATTAATATGATGACCACTACATTTCTAGTGTTATAAACTGAGATTAATGTATTAACCATTTAATTTCTAGTGTTATAAACTGAGATTAATGAAATTACCACTACATTTCTAGTGTTATAAACTGAGATTAATGTAATGACCACTACATTTCTAGTGTTAAAAAACTGAGATTAATGTAATGACCATTTCATTTCTAGTATTATGAACTGTGATTAATGTAATGACCATTTCATTTCTAGTGTTATAAACTGAGATTAATGAAATTACCACTACATTTCTAGTGTTATAAACTAAGATCAATATAGTGACCACTACATTTCTAGTGTTAAAAAACTGAGATTAATGTAATGACCATTATATGAACTGTGATTAATTCAATGTTCACTACAGATAATCAACACAGGTTGCACGATCAATGGGGGAACTGAAGTTTCCAACATTTTAGCGAATTCAATATAAGACAGCATTGATGCCAATCGGAAGGTGGAATCAAGAGTTGCCATTACCTTATCAAGTTTAATAAAGAAATCCAAGCCAGCCTCATACGGACCAACGTCAAGATTCATCTGTGATAGAAAGATAGTGTTACTGTCTAAAAACAATTAATGAATCTAATTAGAATACTAGCTGGAAGGCAAGTAAAAGAGAAAAATATAATACGTAGAAAAACGGGTGGCTTTGGAAACTTAAATGGTTTAGCTATCTGTCAATCAAAATTGGCCAATCAGTAAGGGAAACACCACTCCCAAGTGAGCGTAACTTATTGATTGGCCAATAGTTTATTGTCAGAAGGCTGAAGCCACTTTTGCATCTGCCGATAGCCTTCTAAATTGGCACTTAGTCCTCAAATGCTAACAATGCAAACGGGGAACAAGAAAAGATTAATGGGCTGATGCAAATTTGCAAAATCAAAATTGAAATATCAACCAGTTTAAGCACAAAATACGACATTAAATCATAAAAAAATCTTCAACATGCAAGGGCCTTCACTTCAAAGGCCATTCGAATTTTATGAACGTGTTTAACAGTAAAATCTGTCATTTGTAGAAAGACAGGACTTTAAATTTCCGTTTATATCAAGCAAGCAATTATAGTGTTATGGTGTTAATTTCTGAGATGTTGAACCCAGAGATTTTTCGAGTTGTATATAACACATACATGACTGATCGCACTGTTGTCACATGATAAGAAAGTTTCTAAAAATAACGAAGGCGGAAGATAAATAACATATGATATCGGCGTTAGCACCTGGCAACTGAAAAAGTGCCATATGAATGCTTGCAATACGGAGTATAATTAAAAATGCAATAATGTGTCAAAATAGAGTGGCAATATGCGATTTATGGATAAATTCAGGATTGCTTTTTATTTAAATAGGAGGGCATCATTTAAATAGCTAGTGGCATGAGTTTGCTGGTGCATTGGTTGCATCATCTGCTATATTTCTTGAGATCTTTCAAGGCACGTAGGCCACTACTAACCATCTCAGGCTTGCAACTACAGACATATTGGCATGACAAAATTAAATTCGTTCGTAAAATGTTAATTAAACATTAATTTTTAACGTAGAGGTACACATATATCAAAGATATCTTGATTTCTGGAGAATTTTTGTTGCTTAATGTTTCTTTCTTACATTGGCGGTTTAATAATGTAACAATACATTTTCTTGATTGCTTTCTCCAAAAAATCTTCTCTTACTCAAAATCCTTCAAGATGTGAAAATATCCGAGGAGACTCATGACCCTAAGCCTGAACGTACTTTCTCCCTTCGCTCCAACCAGTTAGTCTGCAAATATCGATATAAACAAACATTACACTTAATATATTTCATACTTAACCAATGGGTTCTAGGAGGATTTTCCTAAAGAGCACAACAAAACTTACCCTCTAGCCAATAAGCAAGATGGGTAAACAGTGTTGAAGCCCAACACAGGATGGCCCAACAAAATAAAATGAAAATATTCTTACTTCAGCACCCCATAGCCTGAACCCTTTCTCAAGTCTCATTGAATTAACTGCATACGATCCAAAATGACCAATACCAAACTCTTTTCCAGCATCAACAATAGCCTCATATAGCTTGGCGGTTTCTTCATTCTTAACATAGAATTCCCAGCCTAGTTCCCCTGAAAAAAAAAGTTGATACTTGCTTGATATAAAATTAAAATGAACTTAAAACTGAAAAGTCAAGAAGTGTTTATCAATGGCTTAGCAGTTGTCATTCAATGACGGTCAGCTCCAACAGTGATAGGTAATAGTTCATTGATTGTTAATTTCGAGTGAAGGCACAATACACTTTCTGGCTTTTTCTTCAACTCACAATGTTTTTCAACTCACAACTCATAATTGAAAAATTTGGGCGAAAAATGCAGAAACTGACCAAATCATCCTACTTATAAACAGGCAACAGAATAAGCCGGATGCAGATGAGAATGGAGAATTAAAAAATAAAATATTTTGAAGGGGTTTCACAAATTTGATCAAAATTACATTTAACAGTACATCAGCATGTTCTTAATTTGTTCTTAAATTCTGCCCAGTTTTGAAGCTCGTGTTCTTATAAATTTGTTCTTATCAAAAGGAGTGTACATCTGCGTTTGTTGATATTTAAGGAAAAAACTAGATTTTTCTAACTAAAGCAACTTTTTCTCAGTTCTTTTAAAACATTTTCTTCTGACCTATCACAACATATACACTTTTCACAAATAAAGCAGTAGCTTATGTACTTTCTTTGACTTACACACAGGGAAAGACAAATTCGCTGATATTTCTTCACAGCAACAAAATTCTATCAACAAGGTACTGTTGAACAAACTCCTAAACCTTACTCCATTCTAAAAGATTTTCTTGTCCTCTTACAAATGAAATTACCTATTTTCTACTGCCGTAAGACAATATCAAATAGGGATTATGCAACTGACGTAAGTCCGTAATAAACATATTGGTGGTACAAAGCCTTGATGCAACTACATACTGGCGTTACACACTTAACCAAAGACCCTCTTTCCCTGCCTCCCTGCCTCACTCCTTCTCTGCCTCCCTGTCTCCCTGCCTCTCTCCCTTCCTGCCTCTCTCCCTTCCTGCCTCTCTCCCTTCCTGCCTCTCTCCCTTCTTGCCTCCCTACCTTCCTATGCTTAAAAATGTCGCTTCTGAGGAAAGAACACGAAATACTTTGCACTTACCAGTGTACGACACTCTTAATGCTAACACAGGAACTCCAGCTACCTCCATATTTTTACACTTCATAAACCTAAATGATTTATTTGAAACATCTTCCGGTGTCAATTTAGACAACAAATCTCTAGACAAAGGTCCAGCAATTGATATGCAAGCCATTTCATCAGTTTTATTCACTATCTGAACATCTTCAAAATCTCTTGCATTTTCCAATAACCATCTAAAAAGAATCAGAACAATAAATATATCAATAAATATCCCAGAATTATGACTTAAAGAATAATTTACTGATTTTCGAGAGTACGTGGTTTTGATGGGTAAAATAAAATGCGTCATTTTAATTTCAGTTTCATAAGTTCCTGATATCTTATCATTGAAGTTTGTTTAAAAATAAACGTTTAATTATACATATTAGCTTGATCTTTTCATTATTCTGTTCTACAAATTTATTCTTTTTCTACCAGTTTTCAATGTACAAATGTCACTATATCGATTGACATTCCAGAATACCAAACTACTTCATATTGCAAAAGTTTTTAACAAATTTATGTTTACAAGAACTAATACATCCATATGCTATTGGGTGTCTTAAAATCTACTGTTGAGAACGGCGGTGAATGACTTTATTGGTGAAAAATATATTTTAGTATAAAAAACCACTACGAAATGGGGAAGTACCATTTCATTTAGCTTCAAATTGAAATCTTCGCATCACAGGAATGCTTTTGAAAAATGGAAACAAGCTAATTGGCTAATTGGAAAAAAGGAATTTAGAAACATTACTGAAAATATATAACTTTCCCTCCATAAGTTTGAAAAAGATATTTTAAAAGTAAGAAGATTAAATAACTAGACTTCATAAATTTGAACAGACAGCAATTTAATACAAAACTGGATATATACCGAATGAAGTAGAAATGTTGTATGTATAACGCTGATATAACTACCTTAAATCGTGATATTCGGAGCCACTGCCTGTTATGATGAAATAGTGGTTAGGCCCAAGTGTCGACACAGTGATTTCAGCGTACACCTTGCCTTTTGGCGTCAACATATGGCTGACATTAACACCACCAACCTGAAATCAAACAATTTTTAAATTTCAAAGCATTTTGAATAAGGTAAATCGAACGAAATTCTTTTGAGTGTATAAAACAGTCAAATTTGTTATAATTGGCTCACATATGGTCAGCAAGACAGCTGAAGTTTGCCAGCGGATAAATGCTGGTTCGGCATGGGTCATAATTTTAGAACCATGAACAAATTAAAATGACTTGATTGGCAAAGATTCTGTGAAATCAATTACGGAATCGTTTATATCTACTTCATGGTATCATTTTAGATCATATTTCCAAATCCAAATACTCCAAAAAATTATTTTCATCACATCGTAACAGTGTCAAAATACTTTCTTTACATTGATCACATGGATAACAAGATTTCCCAGTGATGATCCGCAAAACAATCTCAAATTAGCTGCAGATTTCTAACAATTACGGCTATGAACACTTGAATACATGGTTTTCGAAACAGAGACATGGTTTTAAGTTCTAAGAACGTAAATCACAAAAAATGAGTATTTTGAAAGAAATTTTAAATAATTTTTTTCAGTCAATTAGTGGATTTAATTTCTTGGGTATTTTGTGAAGTCAGAAAAAGGTTAATGGATTAGAACAGTTGCTACCTAAAGCGGGGCGATGTTGTACAGGATATTTCCGAGAAGCAAAGTAAATGAAAAAACTGAGGGACATTGTAGCAGAATGCATAATTAACCGATAAAATATATAAGGATAAAGAATAATTTTTAAATGAAAATTGTGATCTCTTATATAGGGATGAAGAGGTGAAGGTAGTGGCGTAACAGAGGCACATGAGCCCTAAGGAGAAAACTGAGACAAGGCACCTATTAACGGACATTAAGAAAGTTCTTTCCAATGCTGTAGAACATGTCAAACACAATAAGAAGATATAAGAATGATAATTTTTCTAATTAGCTAGGGAGAGCTGAGTTATAGAAGCTTCATTTGAAGAACTTGAAAGTTTTTGAAAAAGGTAAACTTGGGCAAAACCTTAAATACAAGGATATAAGAATAATTTGGGGGCCATTTAGTCGGGAGCCCTTAGTTATCGAGCTAAGGTGCCCTGAACTTTGTTACGCCATGGTGAATGGCTCTAAAAAGGGGTTTTTTAACAGGGGAATCCTCAACAACGATATCAAAATGCAAAATCAAGTCACTATTCCTTAAAACTCAAGTAATTTCTTTTGTTAGAAGACAGAGCCTCATAACTTTGAACACTTCACTACAACATAAGGCCAACACATGAAGCCAGCAAAAACGTTACAAGAACGCAGAGGAAATAGCTGGTCCGTTAAATACACTGAAGATTGAAGAAGTATCACAGCAAGCCATCGGTTTCGAAACGCATTCGATTGAGAAGGATGTTCAATGATCAACCTATTGCGTGAAGTTGAAATTTCTCGCCTAAAATCTTGCAGCCTCAGAAGATTAATCCTTGGGCAAACACTAGCTGAGCTAGAAGTTCTAAAGCCTGCAACAATGAACCATGATAAAAAAATTCAATAACAGTATCTTACCGGGGGGAGTTTGTTCGCGACGATGTAATCTAAGAACTTTGAGGCATCTTTGCCCTTGATTTCGATCTTTGCAAAGGCAGACAAATCTCCTACGCCAACACTTTTTAAAATCATCTCACATTCCCTGCGAACAGGTTCAAACCAGTTCGTACGAAAATAGCTTGGTTTGTATCCCATTTCATCTCCAGGCTGCTGGTACCAATGTGGAACTTCCCAACCATTGTGGAAACCCATTTCAGCCCCTTCTTTCAAGGTGTGCTGCAAGAAAACATGCAAAAACTTTTAAAAGATGTAATATCAGATGAAAAGGGTGTGAACAAGGAAGAAGGGAGAATTTTATCGAAAGAACTAGAGGACAATATATTGAGCATGCTCAATTAAAATAGACATTGCCTAAGGACTTTTGCTAGAAACTGATCCTTTGAATGTCAGACAGGTCAGCGATATAACGAAACAGCGTTTTAAAAATGAACTTTGAAACGCACTTAATGGAAGTGGTATGCAAATTGGGAGCCTATTTCCCCATTTTACTTGGTTCCTAAGGCTTCGAGATATGAGCCGAAAAACTCGAACTATTTTCAAAAGGGAAAATGCAAACTCGGCACATCTCCATCAGAAACATATTCTTCTTTCTAGAATTTCGTTTGCGGAGCAAACCCTCGCACATGGCTGAGAATATTGCATTTAACTGGAATGTTCCTTTACTAATAGGTAACTTATATGTAACACAATAATTCAATGTGATAATAAAACCTTTTAATGCATTTTACTTGAGAAGGATTCTCTTCAGCGTTTTACTTTTTAGACAGATCAGAAAAAACTTATCTGTTTCTTGAATCTTATGGTAAAATAAGTTCTTAGAAAGTCAAGCATTTTTTTAGCAAAAAACGATGATCACTTCGTGACAAGCTTTAAAACAGAGAACATAAGTTGGTTTGAAAACTTTGGTACCAAAAATTAGTTTTTAGGGTTCTTTTTGATTTACCAATACTTTATTCAAAACGCAAAGTGAAATAAAATAAACGATGATTGTTTAAAGCTGATATTCTAAATAAAACAATAACATTATATATAATATATAATAGGCTATTTTACCAAGAAAGCTATTAGATAAAACTACATCAGATCGCAACAGAGCTATTTTACCACGCATAAGAGCTTACGTACATACACTTCTATGCAGCAAAGAATCCTTTGAAAATATTACCTCATATACTGGACTTGTTCGTTGTGGTCTAGCTGCAAATCTCTCCTCCTTGGGATACGCTTGAAGGTTGTTAAAACCATAAGACTCACGACATTTTTCTAAAACGAATTTCTTGTTGGTCCATTTACCATAACGCCCAGGGTCAAGCTCATTGAGGTCATAAGAAGGTTCACCGTCAATGATCCAATCTGCCAGGTATTTACCAACACCGCCTCAAAGAAATAATAACTTCGATGAATTACAGTCAAAAGATTCCTCAGCCTTAAAACCGAGAGGAAGGGGTTTATAGGGGGCAACAGGCACTATGTTTACGTCATACGGTTTAATCGCCAAATGATAATCTTGGGTGGTTGTCTTTAAAATGCCATGACCATTCAAAATAGCATGAAAAGAGCTGATGTTCTGATAAGCGTCTGATGCAAAGTGTTACGTGTATTATAGGCTATGTCGAGGCTGTTTTGGGCTACTGTTTTGCATTACAAAATATTGCATTACAAGAGACTTATTTGATTTTTATTTTTACTCCCGCCCCACAAAGGTAGCAAATTCTGTAAAAATATAGCAGAGGGCACACCTTGCCCCTCCTTCCCTTACACGTGCAGAATCAAGGTATCCTTAACGTAAACCATAAACGATTTTGACTGGCTCGACGTTTTCCGTCAAAAAAAGTGAAAACCATTCACAAGAGCAATTTAAGTTTCATTCTGTCTTTTCAGCATGGTTTGATTGACGTGCAACTTTCGAAAAAAATTTACTTGTCTTTTCCTGTTTTCAGGAGAATTATTACAAAGGAAAGAAAAAATAAAAAAAATAAAATAAAAAGGATGTTACCTGCATGGGCTATCCCGTAGCCAAAACCAAGTGCCAGCCAGTAGTTATGTATTTCTGGGAATGGGCCAACCATTGGAAGGATGTCTGGTGTATAGGTAATTGGACCGGCTACAACACTTCCAATGTCTGCAGTTTGCAAGCAAGGAAATCTATCCATTGCACTGTTTACATTGTCCATTATTCGATCAAGGTCGCTTTCAAATAGTTCTTTTCCAAAACCATCAGGAACACCATCCCACCTGAACGAGTAAATTTGTTAGGATTATTATTCTTCAGCGTACAGACAGGCATGGTGGCTATCGAATATATCTTGGTTGAATTATCGCACTCTAGCTTTCAACATGACACCAAAACGAAATATGCTGGGCTTAGTAGTCGGAAAATTCCCAGAGTTCTGTTGGTTCTTATTTTCAAGGAGCATATGATCATTTTAGTGTTTTCCTTGTATTTGGGGGAGAAAAGAACCAAAATATTAGAATAATTGTTTCCTGTGAGAGAAAAGTTCTTTGGAAATAGACGATCAAAGTTCTAGGTGAGTTTGTAGTTCAAAATCACCAACACATTCGAAATAATACAACGTTAAAGGAAATGAGGTACAATATCAGAGTTATATTTCATAAAACTCAAGGATAGTCTCTGTGAGTGGTCCTTTGAATTAATAAAAGTAAACTCCATGTAAGTTGGACGTGTTTAAAAGGATGAAAACGCACTGACTATGATGACTGAGAAATGAACTACAAAATTGGCCTTTTCATTTCTCGAGATAAACAATGTGATGGCGAAGAAGTGCTCCTGACCGTCACATTATTGAAGATAATGACTTAAATGTTAACTCTATATCTTTTTCACACCAAATGAAGCATCAAATTTCATGATTTTTCTCTGAAAATCTGAATTCAAACATTTTAATTCTTCAACTTGCCAAACCCAGTTCCTTGGCGTGTCGAACTTGCTTCTCTACTTGTATATTTCTTGAATCGATTCAATATGACAAAAAATACAATGCCTTTGCGTTTAGTAATCCTCTAAACACCTCGCATGTGCAATTTTAATCTTCTATTTTAAATAGATATTGTGAAAAATGGACAAGCTTTTCAAGAATGATGTTATTTGCAATCAGAACAGAAAACTCACCATTCTCCTTGAAGCCTCATTTTTTGTCCCTCTTCGTACGGTCCAAAAAGCAAACCATCCCTCTCCATTCGTAGATAATAGGACCCTTCCAAATCTCTTACAACTGGAATTTCACGTTTCAGCTCTTTTACCTCTGGTATTGTAGTTGTGACAACATATTGATGATGAATTGGTGTTATGGGATGTTCGACTCCGACCAATCTTCCTAGTTCTTGTCCCCAGAAACCTACAATTAAGAATCACTGACTTCAACTTAAATCAGTTATCATTTAAAAGATGTAGATAGCTGCCATAGCCTGTTAAAAGAATCTTCCTTGTCGCAATCTCTTAATGTCATAGACAAATCATTTAATTTAATGAAAGTACGAATTTAACTTTACATCCAAAAGTGTATGATGATAAGTATGGAGAAATGCTAAGTATGTTGGCAGGCAGACTGGCAAGCAGACTGGTAAGAAAAAATCTGTTCACCTCTTATCCTACCGAACAAAAAAGGATCTTAATAGCTAGGCCTCTTCTATATTACTAACTTTAAAGATTGAATTAAAGAAAGGAAGTAGCAGTTTGCAATATATCAACAAACATAGTATTTCATCATTGTCAAATCTATTTCATTCTTCACTTACTTTAGGATATCATTATTATGGTCATTTTATAATATCATGTCAGCTTGTTTTTATTTTTTAAATTATATCTATTTTCCAACCCAATAATACCAAAATAAATGTTTACGGGATGACTAGCCTAATTGGAAGGTGTGCATAACTCAATGGGAGGATTTGTACTCTTGGAGGGATTTAAAGAATGATGTAATTTTCAGAACTGAGTAAAATTTCCAGTAAGATATTGCCTGGGCTGTTGCTAGCTATTGTGCTCAAGAGTCTCATTTGTTGATAAGCCTTGAGGTTTCTTGACAAAGCACCCTAGATTGCAAAAATATCCACATGAAAAATGGATTTGTGAGTCTTTGTGAGTTGGTTAAAAAACACACCACTGACCTGCTGCATTCACAATACGGTTGGCTTTTATTGTGCCATGTGGGGTTTCAACCTCCCATTTGCCATTCTCTAACTGGTTCAGTTTTGTGACTGGAGCAGGCATGTATATCTCAGCACCATGCATCCTTGCACCTATTGCAAGCGCTTGCGTCAAGGAATATGGGTCAATATGTCCATCATCTGAAATGGATTAAATTCAAACTTGACTGGTGAATATTCTCTATAAATGCCAAGACATATTAATAAAAATTTCTGATTTTTAGTAACAATTCCCTATGAATTTCTGAAATGGCATTCCTACCTAGGAATGTGCAAACATTGATTCAGAACTAAAAAGCAAACAGATTTTCAAACTGCACTTTTCCTTATTGGGAACATGAACTATGTGTCTAATCAAATTTGTAGCATGCACTGTATCCATATTGTAACAAATTACATACATTATGCTTTATGACAATTTCTCTGGAATAGCTTAACACTATTAATATTACTCATAAGTAGGCTACGAATCATACACACCAGGTGTAAAAAGCCCTCCAAGAACATCACTGCAGTTCATAATGGGCATCAGTTCTTGAACTTCTGTTGGAGACAACAGAGTCATTGGAGACTGATGCCATCCTTGCCTTTGCAGTTGATATTTTGCTTCATCAACCCTACCAGGTGTAGTCAACAGCCTCAGGCTGCCTGGCCGATGGAAACCAACTTGCTGTGTAGTAGATAAGATATGTGTAAGTTCCCATGAGCAAAAGCATCCCATAAGATTATGATAAAAATGCAAAATAAATAATTGAATGGGAAAATACCTTACTGTTCTTTACTTTCTATCAAGGATTTGTAAAAATTGGTGCACACAGTCAAACTTGCATAAGATGGACATGCAAAAGTTAGATATATTTCATAGCTCTCACAAAAATGCTTCGTCCAAGATGTTTTGGTAGAAGAGCTACAGTGGAATTCCCAATATAATGAGCTCTGAAGAGAACCGGAAAACTGTTTGTTAACTGTGTCTTAAAATCCTTCCGTGGTCATTAAAAATCCTTCTGTGGGCCTATAAACCCTTCAGATGAAAAACTGCATAAGCATAATTGGTTCATTGCACAAGATAGATTTTACAAGTCAGATATTTCTATAAAGTCAGACTATTTTTGAAGTCCAATCTAAAATTAGTATCACACAAGTCAGATATATGCAGCAAAACCAAAATATCTAGATGGTTCCCATGAGAAACATTCTTGAAGGGAAAAACATCTGTAATAAAAATAGAGGTGATTGTTGAAAGGGGCAATACTCTGAAATTCCGGGACCACCTTTGCAGGCAAAGGAGCTGCAGTTACACCATAGCCATCCATGCATCTGCATCTGCATCTGCAGAAGATATGATGGCTTTGGTCTTTTTAAGCGTTGGCTAGCTGAATGCAATATCTAATAATAAGATAAATGCCAAAGAGTTTGTATAAAAAAATATTGGTGATTTTTTTTGGATGCTGAATAGACATTTGATTAGTATTATACATGTGATGACGTATTCATTCTATACTTCATACTTCAGCTAAAATGCCTCATATGGTTTATCTACTTCAGATTTTCCAAACTTTGCTTAAGTTGAAAATATCTGACCTAGGTGTGAGTCAGACTTTGCACGAGTTGCTCTGTTTTGTATGGTTTGAAAAGAACTGACTTGTGCTAGTTTGACTGTATTGGCAGCTTTTAAAGCAGCTGTATTGCAGTATTAGATTTTGAAAAAAACATTTGAATTAGCTTACTATTGGGACATCATGTCACAAAATATTTTAACTATTGTGTGCAGGTGAAAACAACAATTCTCATAAATACATAAAGTCGTTACAAGTTCACTTTTCATAAACAGAAGGGCATTTTTAATGCTTCAAATAAACATTGAATCATTCTAATCTCATACAATTAAATCATAATCAGAATTCTTACCACCCTTATGAAACCTGGACTTGAAGATTGAGTTTACAACCACATTAACATAATTATCAGAAAACTAGCTGAGGGAAGCAGGCAATTGTGCCTGGGTACTCAAGACTAACATTTATGCATTACATCAGACACAAATTTTATTCTTAAAATATTGTTTTGGAATGAACAATTGATAGTAATAAATGTTGTAACACAGGTAGCAGTGGTGTTGCCAGCCCAAAAAGACTGGGTTGGACTAAAACAAACTTTCTCGACCATGCCTTTCAGATTCTTTGAAAATCCTTTTTTTAGTATTTTTTATCTATTTTGAAATTTTTCGGACAAGCAATTTTCTCAAGCAGCACTTTTCGTACCGGTGGCATTTTTGCCAGTGCGAAAATCAAAATCGATCTGACAGCCCAACTCCCCTCCCCCCTCCCAACGGATTTCAAGAAATTAGAAAATCGACTTCTGGAAAAACATGTCCACCCAGTCTACCCCCTTGGGCACACCACTGACAGGTAGTTGTTTGAGTGGAATGGTTGTTTTCATGAAAAGTATTCTTTTGATGGTAACCATTGGGTAAGGCAGGTCAGGAAAATTTATTCAAAATAAAATGACAACTGTGCAAAAGGCTTGGCAAAGCAACAAAAAGGTATTCATATTTTTTTGTGAAATTTATTTACCTGTCCAGTTTCTGCTTCAATTTGAGCATACAGATTGATGCTGTAGTAATGAATTCTTTTCAGGTTAATACCTGGGTGGTAAAGTGTCACAAGACCAGCCTGATAGGGAGAACAAGTTACTTAACTCAGGAAGATAAAAGGAAAATAAATTAGCATATACCAACATAAAATATTCAAAATCTGTAATAATAAAAACTTAGAACAGAAAAGAAAAATTGAGAGAAAATAAATTAGTAGGGGTAAGAATTAATGGTTGTCTTTTGTTCAAAACATTGTATGCAATTGATTATGGAAGACAAAAACAATTGAAAAAACATGGTTAGAGTTATTTCATAATTTTAACAATATGAACCTTGGTTTCTTAAAGGCATTCGACACAGATAAAGTGGCTTACAGCCACTTGACACTCATGTGTTGACCAATTGAATTACGCCCAGAGAAAAGCATGTGATCAATTTCTGTTTTTCAGCCAATCGGCAAGACGCTAGAGTGGTTTCACGCGAGTAGTTTCAAATTCCTTTCAAACTCGTGTGCTCTGATTGAGTTATTTTTGGATTCGCTGTACTTATGCATGTCAAATGCCTTTAATTAATTATGAAATGCCTGCAGTTGAAATAGGTGAGTTATGACAACACACTCACAGCATGCCATGTTGATCCTGCTGTCAGCTCTGACTTTTCAAGCAAAACCACGTCTTTTTGTCCTTGCTTGGCAAGATGATATGCTATACTTGCACCAACACAGCCTCCACCAATAATTACAGTGTCTGCTTCATCTTTAAGCTTCTTATTAAGTCTTGCCTTCCCACTAAAATAGTAGCATGTTGGGTTTTTTTGGATGAAATCCAGATAAGGTTTCAACAACAGAGCACGACAGCTTTACTTGGTAAATTTCTTGTAAACACACATCAATTATTAGGTAAGTCATTAAGTTCTGAGAGTTATTTGGGGGGGGGGAGTGAGAAAAGAAAAGATAAACCAAATGAGGACATATTCAATATTGTTGACTTTGATAGCCCCTAGCGAAACCTAGAATAGAAGCCCTGACAGATGGTTTACATACATCAGTAGCAAAAATCATAGGGATAGGGAGAAAACTACCCTTTCTCTTTTAGCTGATTGGTTTACTTCAGGAATCTCATATTTTGTACAGTAGACTCTGGTTATAATAACACCAAGTTTTACTTGAAAAGCTGTGACAGTAAGTGAAGTGTGACTGTAAACAGAGCTAAACCGAGTAGTTTTGCAAATTTGTGCCCTCATTTTATGTGACAGTAAATGGAAGCGTGACTTTTACTAGTGTGACTATAATTGAAGTCAACTGTATAGGAAAAGGAAGAGAAAGGTTATTTTAACAATAGAAATGTAACTGCAATTGTCCTCCCACTTAAAAAACTCAATCTCTCCATTAGTATAGATGCTCTGAGCCTCAAGGACAGTGACGCAGGAACCAAGGGCAGAGAAGGCACTGTACTCCCCCCTCCCCCCCCCCTCTAAAAGTTTTTGCAAGTGGCATTTCAGGAGAAGTAAGTGCCTCATTTTTCAGGTGTAATTTTTTTAAAGTGCCCAATTTGCCAGAACTTGTTGGTGACTGGGGGCACTAGAGTAAATACTTCCTTCCACCTTCTTTAGGATAATTGGTACGGATTCTGTAATATGTGCGAGAAAAGAGAAACAATAACGATGTTCTTGGCTGTATTTTGCAATTATTCTGTTTAACTTGACCTAAAAATGTTGATAAATCATCAGTTTCATTATCAAAGGGGTAGGTGTGTGTAGGAGCAGAATGGTGGTATAATCGGTTTGAGAGAGCCAGTTGCCATAATCACCAGTTGCCAATGAATAATATTTTTGTTTTTGCACATGTTCCGAAAGGTTTTTAATTTGACAAGTGATTGACATATGAACAATAGGTTCAATTGTTAATTTTCAATGCCAAAAATCACCATCAATGATGCAATTTCAGTTCCGGTTGTACGGTGCTTTTATGCCTATCTTCTGGTTGTTTTTCCCAAACCTTTTACAAGTGATACCACTGTCTATGTATAGAATTCGTCTGTTTAATTCAAAAACTAACATGCAGTGTTGTAAAAATGTACAATGTAGCTAAAATAATAGCCAAGAACTTTCACCGAAATTGATGTCCCTTCCTTTTATTATTATTTTTGGTGAACCGAGGCTAGGGGTTCCACAGGTCCTACTTGTACCTGTTCAAAGCAGAAAGGGGGCCGCAGATTGGCGTTGTATTTAGTGAATTTACGTAGCGTTGCTTCTTTCGAAGGGGGAGGTTGACTTAATGCACAATATCGGGTAGATCCAGTTTACCACATACCTAGAATCCGCTCTATCCACAGTGCTTGAAGAGAGTGACTTTACGGCATTTTGTAAAATTCTTGATCTGAACTTCGTTAACTTGGTAAGCTCCTTGGAGCTTCGCGCAAATGCCGCCATCACTCCGAAATCTGCTGGGTCTGTTTTGTTTATCGGACCTCTGCAAGGAACAGATCCCGCACCAATGATTGGCCATTGGCTAATTTCGAGAGCTAGACCACGTGGAAGAATCACACCTACTCACTATGCAAGACGTCCACGGCAGATCAGCTTGAAAAACTCGAAAAACCAGTTTTTTTCGGACTATCCGGTGCCTATAGAGTTGTCAAGTGATGATGCCTATTGACGGACCCACATCCCTAAAGCTGAGTCTCCAATAGAAAAACCTTTTCGTGTATCGTATTAAAATACGCGTATATAAATATGTTTGAATTTCGGTGCAATTTCCATTACAATATTTTAGACACGTGAATGATGGACAGCGGCTGTATTTAGTGGAAAAAATATTTTTTTTATTGTTAAGAGGAATCGTTTTACCAGGAAGAGAAGGTTCTGGGTAAGAAAACTATTATCAGATCGAAAATCTAAAAGAGAGCTTTATCTTCTTGTGCAAGATATGCTTTTGTACGACCAAGAGTACTTCTCTAGATTCTTCAGGATGACCCCACATCAGTTTTAAGTTCTACTTGCAAAGGGAATTGTTCTCGTGGAATACTTTGTGTTACTGTGAGATATCTGGCAACACGTTTCTTAGACAGAACTTTAGCAGCCATCTTGATTTCATTATCAATGCCCAGAAGTACAAAAGTGAATTGGTTGTTTTATGGCTTGATACGGCGTAGTACGTAAAAAAGTAGGACCCAATTCAACTTTGTTTGTGTGCATATGCACGTTCTTGAGATAGGCGTATTTCAAAAATTCACTAGAAACACGCATGCGCGGCTGTACGATCCGTGTCGATACGGGTAGAACTTTGCTCATTGGAAATCCGGCTTAACGCTGATACGACCATAACCAAACGATCCTTTCAAAACAATATTGGAAGTCAAAATATCTGCATTTAGAACGGGCCTAGCCCCCCAAACAAAAAATTGTATCTCGGTCTTTGCTATATTCTACCTTTCTGTTTATCTGAAATTTGAATATTGTATTTTTGAAGATTTAATAACAAAGTATCATTATTTACTGGTTCAAGTGTGAAAATACTGTAGACCTGAAAAACGAAGTTTAATTTGATGAAGTATCTATCTAAGATAGAGCCAGATGAATCGATTACTCCTGTTTGGAGAATTGAGTAAGGCCGCTGTCAGGGTTGCCAGGCGTATGCGTAAGTTTTAAGCCAAATCGTTGTCAGAATAAAACCAAAATAAACCAAATTTGTTCTGCTCCGAAAAAGCCCATAAAAAGCCAAAAAGCCAATTAAATATCTAAGAAGCCAAATTCATTTAATTTGGTGGATTGCCTCGAGGGCCGTATCGTGTCAATTCAATCAGAAAATTTAAAAAAATTTAGCCAGGGCGCAGACTGCATTGTATTGTTTCAAAATATTATTGTTACAAAAAAAGTTGATTGAACGACGCTTTTGAAATGATGTCTTGTTGCTATTAAAAATATTCAGGTGGAGGGGGGCAGGTTTCCTACCTCTTGAAAGCCGTTTCCCCAAGTTATGGAAATAGGAAAATTGAGAATATAAATTGTTTTCTTGGACATGTAAAAAGGCAAAATTAAGCCAAACTATTTTTCCAAATCCAAACAGCATTTAGAAAAGCCAAAATTGACATATTTGGCTTAAAAAAGGCCGAGTTGGCAACCCTCCATGTGGACCTTGGACTAAGCTGGCAACAAAAGCTCACGAATTGAATTGTTTACATGTCTAGACCAACGTGCTCTTTTCAGAAACAGGTTTACTTTTCTGTAGCAAATAAGAAACACCGCAATGCGACGAGAATGAACAACAATAAATACGCGTAAATTAATGAAGACTAATATGTTTATACACATAATACACTTTTCATTGCTTTCTCTTTCTCTATAGTGTTGCCGCACGGCCTGCCAATATGCATTTCATTGATTTCACATTGTTTATTTCGTCTACTTTAGGAAAAATAGTACAAAAATCATTTCATTTGATCGCGTAGTGCAAAGTGTAATCGAAGTCAGTGTGAATATTGAACCACAAATATAAAGTTTCTTAAAGACAAAAGTTTTTTCACAACCCCCGTACAGTAAAGTCTTGCCTAGAGCGGTCTAGACCACGTACAAGTTCAGCTACAAAACCGGTTTTGCCGCTGGCCGTCAGACCAGTCAATCAGGACCAACGAGTCTACAAGTCATGTGCTGGACTTAGGCGTTCCCATAATCTGAAAACAACAATTGCACGACACACCGGCATCAAGACTATCACGGCAACAGTCAACCAGATCGCTAGAACTTTTCAGACCCAGCAAAGGCATTAATCATGAGTAACAAGGTACTGATGTTTAATTTTCTTAACTATTAGATACTAACTATGAAACTGTGCAGAGATTAATTTCATCAATTAGACTGTGTAGATTTCGATGCTACCAAATGTAGTCCACTGTTTACAACATCGCGACTTGCTTCACTTAAGTTAGTTTTAGAATATTAGTTTTAGAATGCAACAATTATTTTTTCTGACTGCTAAGCTTTGTTTATATTTATTGGCAATCTGACATGCCTATATTTGATCTACACTAAATTAACTCGGACAGGAGACGTAAAGATGTAAAAGAAATCGACAACTAGCGCCAGACCTTGTTTAGTTTTGAAAATTCGAGTGTGTCAGATTTGAGTGATGTTAAGTGGCGCTTAACCTTCCGAAACTGATCACAGGAGGTGAATAATTCATCAGCGATTATGTTTTTCGTTAACTATTCATAAACCACCTGAATTTTTATCAACTCCAGGCACAGTCTTCCAAAGTTAAAGGTAGAATGCAATCAGCCAGCCGACCTAAACCAATAAACTTTTTCAAGGGTTGTTTGCTCTAAATGCGAGGGGCAAATCGCTCTATGAAAATCTCGTATACCTTCGGTAGAAAGCCTATTATTTTATCTAGAAATCCTTTAAAATCTTTTTGTTTTTTATTAAATTCTCTTAAGCACTGTGAAAAAGTGAGAAGCAGCATTGGTCCCACCTTTAATTCAAAATGAACAAGCTATCTGCTCTCTGGGATACGCATACACTCATTTTTTATAAGAAACAAAGGTCGATGTTGAGTACTCCAGTTGCCGTTCTTGATGCTGTATTTAGACGTGTGAAGTATAAATTTATCCCTTGTGTCCTAAATTCTAGGCCAACAGGGCAATCATGTTTTGGGGTTTTACAAAATTTCGTTGTTCCCAGTTTTATCACAATTTTATAGTTTCTTATTTTTTTGCTTCGAGTACTGAAGTTTCTTAACTTTTCTGACTGTCCAGTACAAGGGGCGATTCACTCTTGCAAATAGCGTACGAGATTTGCCTAAAACAAAAGGATTTCTGGGGATTTTCAGATAAAACAATAGGATTTTCACAAAAGGTGTACGAGATTTGGTTAGAGTGATTTGCCCCTCGGTCTAGCACTCGTTTCTTATAGCCAGTTTCTTATAAAAAAATGAGTGTATTGGCGTGGACCCTCTGTTGTGGCTTAGAGATTTTCTTATTGTATGGGATACGCATATTGGGGTGGACCCTCTGTAGGTGGCTTAGAGGTTTTTATTGTATATGTCTGAAAAAATTTGTATCACAATCATACAAACTAACTTGACACTCACAGGCATTCATTCTCCTGTATCGAGTTAGTTTCTTCTAAATGTAAACATACGCAAACTGGACCAAACTAAAGGAAGAAAGCATTTTAGAATTATCTCACGATAAGCAGATGTGTAGAAGAAATTTTCTTTCAGCTGCTGATTTTAACGTAACGGTAAGTTAGGTTTTGTCAGCAAAGGGAACGTCACATAAAGCAGTTCAAAACGACACGGTTGAAATCAGATCTGACTTGAGTACCCGCAGAGACAATACCACCTCTCCAAGGACGTGAAATGGACGTTTAAGGTGTGCCGAGGTACGACCCTAACTAAGTACGGTTTGAGTTACCTCGCTGACGTTACGTATGGCATCAGCTCCAATTGCGGACACACTTCTAGGGAGAGAAAACAAAACATTGTGTCAAAAACGTTTACCGTAACCTTAAGTGACCTGTCTCTATAATAAGCCCTTACTCTCTATAATTTCCAAGTTAAAGGGTTCTCAGTATGGTTGACATTTTGAAACTTCAAATTTTCATTTAGTAAGAACAATTTTGGCCTGGCTCTTCTATTTTTTCGCATAATTTCAGCTTCGCCTGTTTCATATTTTGTTACTTTTTTTGTAATTGAATTTCCTTAGCATAGTAGTCTCCAGACATCATGTGCTCGATAAAGTAATGAAAGTCTCTGTCATGGATGTTGCACTTGTACCTGCAGTTCCTTTTGAGCAAATGAACAATATTTGTTAATTTTAATGTTGTTAAATTGTAACTGTTGTTTCAGTTCTATGTTGTTATTGCTTTTTGTTGTTCTATTACTATTCTTTTATTTTTCAATTTTACTGGTATTTTATTTCTTCAGTTTTGTTTAACTTCAGTCTGCCGTGTTTCTTATGTTGTTTTTATTTTTGGGGCAAATCTCAGCCTGATATTTTTTTAAGAGTTGTTCTTATGAAAAAAGTTTGTATATGTAATGTATAACTCTATATAAGTGAAAGGAGCATTGGTTTTTAAAGCAGCACAAACTGGAGCAGGCCTGTCACTGGCTATTGTTTTCAAGAGGGTTTCCAAGTTCCATTTGCCGTCAGAGCAAATGAGACATACTTAATTTGCCCACAAGTTCGGAAATTTACTGACTAAGCACTCCTTGATGGCAAAACAAATTTTGAATTAAAAAAGATGCAAATAATTTTAAGTTTTGTTTGATTGTTTTTCAGCTATAGAATGATGCCTAACGTCACAAAAATATATTTTTAGAATTTATTAATTTGGATCCCATAACCTAAAAGAGTATCATGAAACACCTCTAAATTTGCAAAATCATGCAAGTGTATTACAAAATGGCAGAGATATGGCCACATGTTTATTGGTTCTCTCCCCATCAAACCTCTGTATTTTGGTCTCTGTTCATAACTCTATGAACAGAGCCAAAATAACAGTGATTTGTTAGCAAGCTTCAAATCTTTAATTAGCCATATCTCAACCGATTTTCGACATATTTGGCCAATTTTGCGTATTTGAAAGTATTACATGGTGATCTTTTACGCTATGTGGTTAAAGTTCAAAAATTCTGAAAATAGGTTTTTGATGATGTCACACTTTAGAACTCTATTGCTTTAAATTTAGATGGTCGTGTTGTTTAACACTGTCATCGATTCTTATTTGTTGAACCTGTGCGTTACTTTTGCTCACTAATGTTTATAAAAATCAACTATTTAAAACAGTACTTCCTGTTGGTCCAAGTATAACCCAAATGTCCCCATTTTTTAATTACATAGTAGTGATTGAGCAAATTTAAGAAAACAAATTTCATTCACAGCGTGGATTGCTTGAGCGTCTAGATGCTGGAGAGGTAGTCATAGGAGATGGAGGATTTGTGTTTGCCCTTGAGAAGCGTGGTTATGTTAAAGCTGGGCCTTGGACACCAGAAGCATGTGTAGAACATCCAGAGGCAGTTAAACAACTTCATAGAGAGTTTTTGCGGGCTGGTTCAGATGTTATGCAAGCATTTACTTTCTATGCCTCTGATGACAAGTTGAGCAACCGAGGAAACAAGGCTGGTAGTTATGGGGTATGTTTTTTATCCTGATCCTTTCTTGGTAAATTTCTTATTTTTTAGCTTTAAATTCTAGATTTAAGTGTCATATGTAATATTTTTTATTTTGCTTAAATTGGCTTATCTAATTTAGTGAAATACTGACAGTTGTAAATGCTTTATAACATTACAGTGTGCAGAAATCAACAAGGCTGCATGTCGAATTGCAAGAGAAGTTGCCAGTGAAGGTGGTGCTCTTGTGCTTGGTGGGGTATGTCAGACTCCTTCGTATCTTAGTGGACTAGGAAAAGCGGTTGTGCAAGCAGAATTCAAGAAACAGTCAGATGCATTTGTGGAACTTGGTGTAGACTTTTTGCTTGCAGAATACTTTGAGCACATTGAAGAAATGGAATGGGCTATTGAGGTGTTAAAAGCAACAGGACTTCCTGTAGCATCATCAATGTGCATAGGGCCAGAGGGTGACCTTCATGGTGTGTCCACTGCAACTTGTGGAGTAAGGATGGCACAAGCTGGTTCTGATGTTGTGGGAATCAATTGTCATTTTGACCCTGATGTAGCACTTGCTGCTGTTGCAGAAATGAAGAAGGGACTTGATGCTGCAGGCATCAAGAAGCATTTAATTGTCCAACCTTTAGGGTTTAAGACACCAGATGTTAATACACAAGGATTCATTGATTTGCCAGAATTTCCTTTCGGTGAGCATATACAGTTTTTTCTACCTTGCCTTCTTAATGTTTCTATACCACTCATACTTAATCTATTTGCTTGGTTAGGGTTGAATGCGCAAAGAACAGCGAGGGGGAATTTGAACATGTTCTCTTGTTCTTGAATGCATATTTACAATTTAGCTACTTTGGCACATGTTCAATGTTAATCTTAATAATAAACTTTTTCCTAAAGCACTTGAACCAAGGATTTGCACAAGATGGGATATGCACAAATATGCTAGAGATGCCTATGAACTGGGAGTCAGGTACATTGGAGGATGCTGTGGCTTTGAACCTTACCACATCAGGGCTTTATCTGAAGAGGTAAGAAGTTGAAAAAATCAGTTATTGTTTTTCCTTAGCTCTCAGACCCCGTTTACACTGTCCTGTGCAAGTTTGGGACCGTGACAAAACTGTTGCGGTTCGCCCTTGCGTTTACACTAGCACTGTGGAACCGTGACGATTTTGCTCTGCTATCCGGAACAGTTTTGACCCTGCTTTGAAAGCGAACGAATTTTGTACCGTCACGGTTCCGTTTTTGAACGGGACAGTGTAAACACCTATCCGAGACGATTTTGTCACAGATTCACAAAGAGGTCTTTTGTATGGCTGTTTCAGGTAATAGAGGCTTTGATTGTGCCGTAACTATGTTGTCAAATTCTGAAGAAAAGGAAATTCTGAAGAAAAGACAACCACAGAAAAGGCTTGTAGTCTTTCCCAGTCCAAGCCTTGATTAGACTTTGCAGTTTTGTAGTCTAAAATAACACTGAAAATTAAAGCCACCTTGTCGTTCGTCCAAGTAAAGTTTTAATCGGCCTCCCGCTCCATTTTAACTGACAATAAAAATTCGATTTTTGACTTCAGCGGCCAAATAAAAGCCTTGGTTGACTAAATACAGCTTCTTCTAAACAATGTTCTACCATTAAATTAAGGTCGTACCGGTACAGTGTAAACGGAACGGCTAAACAGAACAATTTGGAACCGCGACAATTTGGAACACTTGCGAACCGTAACGGTACCAAATTGTCCCGGGACAGTGTAAACGGGGTCTCAGTTGGTAACACTAATTACATTTTCAATACCTTGTGAAATACAATGTAAACCACAAACTATTTGAAGCAACAACAAAATGCATTGATTATTACCATGTTAATGTATTAGCCTCGTATAAAGAATTGAGAATATGGATATTTTCCAGTTTTGTCTTCTGTTTTAACTGTTGGTTTTATTAATGCTATAATTTTAAAATATCTTCATGTAAATCACCCACATCTCTTGGCTGTTTTAGCTTTCTAAGGAAAGAGGTAAGCTCCCAGAAGGAACAGAAAAGCATGCCATGTGGGGTGGTGGACTTCTCATGCACACTAAACCGTGGGTCAGACAGAGGTGAGTCTTCAAATGTATTTACTCTTGTTTATAGCTTACATTTACACAAGTTATTCTTCTAAATTATACATTCCAATATTTCTAACAAAGGTTCATGTCTGTCATGTCGAGTTTGATCTGGTTTTTGAAAATAGAGGATTTTAAGCTTCATAAACATGGAATGTATAAAAATGATTCAAGAAGATGCCCTTTAGTTTTTGTAAGACAATCACCATGTAGCTTACAGCAAATCACTTTTGAAGTCAAAATGGTATACTAAGCATGTTTGCCAATAGAGCATTCTCAATGTAATAGTTTTAAAGGCCACAAGCCATCTTTCACCCATTATATTTTTGGAATAAAATCTTCTAGACATTCATCACAAAATACATATAACTGAATAGCTCCATATAACTCCCAAAATACATATAACTCAAATTTTGGAAGGCAAGAACAAAATGCAAATGCAATGCTGCAAACTTTCATCCCAGTTTAAGAAAATATTTAGATCATAAAAACAATTGCAAGAAGTTATATAATTTTATGGAAGAAAACCAAAAACATGATCCAACTATTGTACAAATACTTCACTTTACACTGTTGGTCTGTATATTTCTAATAGAAAATATTTGCATCTGCATGGCTAAGGCTCATGATATTTATTTTCATTTTCATTTAATTTTCAGAGCTAAGAAGGAGTACTGGCAGAACATAAAGCCTGCAAGTGGTAGACCGTTTTGCCCTTCTATGTCAAAGCCAGATGCTTGGGGTGTGACAGCTGGTCATAAACATTTGGCACAGAAAAAGGAAGAAACCACTGAAAATGAATTGAAGGCTGAAAGCAAAGAACTTGTTGGTCACTGAAAACTAAGCATTTTATCACAAAGATAGTTTTTTAATAACTGAAATCAATGAAACCACTGTAGATTTATTTTGACTTAAAGAAACAAGCAAACTTGTGGTTTTTTATCATATCATCTATATCTATTTAAAATATGTTGGAAATGATATGCAACAATCTCATGTGGGGATAGTAACTACCACATCCCTGCTACATGACAAGGCTTGAAAAAAGTTCATTTATTTTTAGAACCTTATTTGTTTTGCTTAGTGCTGACTTGATCATAGCAAAAAGTTATCAAAACTTGTTTTGTTTGACAAGGATGGAAATTTTTGGTGAACAACTGAATAGTAATCTTTTTGAACAAAGAATAGTTAGCATCAAATGAAGATGCAAGTAGTTTCATAGGCCTAAGTAACTTAAACCTTGCAATACTTTGCACAAAAATATTGTTCATAGTTATATACAAATGTACAGAGTGCTTAAACTTAATTTAACAGCTATTTCAACATGGTATGATATACAAATATGATTTGGTTCCTACATCAGGTACACAGTCATTTTCTATTTAAGAAAGTTTATTTTTTCATGTCTGAATTCCAAGTTGCTCCTGCATTCTAAGTTTCCAATGTTTTCCAAGAAGTTCAAGTAGTAATTTTAGGAGTCTTTTTGAGAACCTCTCCTGAAAATTAATGGTATGCATTTTGTGAGTTTCAGGAATAGTTAATAATGAAGTTCCTTATAAAAGGGTGGCATTTTAACTTTCATCATAAGCTCTTTGTCTCTTCGTGAAGACAGTTCAAATACGCTAAAAAATTTTGGAGAGATAAATTTGTACAAACAAAGTCACATTGTCCCAATAATAACGACAATGGTATAATATGATCTGTTTATTGGCACTTGGATCTTAATGAAGGCAAAATATTGAATTGAATTTATTTACTCACAATGGATATGAAGTATGTTTTGAGAATATCCCTGACGTCATCGCCAGTAGTGTCGTCCAGTTGCTCCTGATGTAAAGGTAATAAAATTAACCTTGTTTGAGTTACTTAAGAAAAGAGACTAAACTCGGGGAAAGGACATGTACCAAGCATATAGCGAACTGGGCAATTATGAACTACAACAAATCACTTATTGTACCCTACACCCCATGTATTCTTGTCAGTGTAACCACTCGTGCAGAATGCAAGAGGCCACTATCGCTACATAACGACTACAGTACAAGTCTGTTAATTTTGAATGTGAAATTCCTTTAGGCATTAAGAAGGAAATAATTACAAAAATCGCATATAGCAAGTGTCGTAGTTACATGGAATTTTGTTTCCTTGATAACGACAATATTTATGGTTTATGGTTTTGTGGTTAGTTAAAAGCTGGATATCTATGGTTGGATAACGATCAAGGCAAAAGAAGCTGCTAGACAGAATGACGAAAAGATTACAAAATGAAGTTTCTCTAATGAACACGAATCACTCGAAATTTATCAAGTTGTTTTTCAGTTGGCATATGTACACAAAGCCTTTGCCAATGTTGAAGGCAACGTTTTGTCAAGGACCCGAAAACTATTGCTAGTTGTTGGCGATAACGATATCTCCTGTTTGAAGACAAACTATGCTTCCCTTTTCTGCGATATTACATTGAAATTTTCACCAAGACTAACCTAGTGAACGGAACTCTACATTGCTACTCTTCTAGTCCAAAATTGTTTATAAGATCTTTTCAATCAGATTCAAATTCAAAGAAGTGATGAGAATCATGTAATCAGTTACAGTGCTTTACAGAAAACTTGTTAGACAAACTCTATTTGTTAAAACATTTTTATTTTTACACATTAGACAGGCTTTAACTGTTTTATGCAACAATATCAAAATATCCGAACTTCAGCGCCTACTTTAAATTCTTTGAATATTAAAAGGACCGGATGTTTATGGAATTTCCTTGTCTCAATAAAATAGGTTGGATGTTATTAGGGTTCATGGCAGAGAAAGTGCGAAGGTAGGATGCGCATGCGCTTTACTTGTGTTCTTCTCTTTCAACAGTTATAGATAGTTTTTTTTTGACAAAAATGAACTTTTAAAATTTGATCACCCTAGGCTCTTCATCCAGCAATAATTCGATTTCTTCTGACGTCATGTCCAATATGCTGCATGCAATATCTCTGGCTTCTTTCATTGATTCTTGGCTCTTTTGCTTTTTTATCTCTTCATCCCGTTTTAGCCTTCTCCTTTTCACGATAACAAGTTGAAGATGATGGGTATCTTTCAGTACAACCTCGACTAAATTCTAGGGGAGGAAATCGCATAAGGATTTCTTATTGCGTGTCAATGAAGAACAACGATAGCTTGGGAATATTGATTAGGCTTGGCTAGGAAACCAGGCTTTGAACGCGGAGATACTGACAAACACGTGTAAACTTTGTAAATTAAAAGGTTTCCTAGGTCTATGAAACCGAAATAGGCAAATCTAACATCGATTTAACAATCATACGACAATGTTGTGGAAGAATAACTAATTATAATACTTGGATTAGGTGAGGATAAAATATTTACGAAAGCTGGTGCATCAAAACTGGTTTACGTATTGTACCAACAACTCGTGTTTTTCAAAGAAGAGAACCTGAATTTGAAAGATATGATATAAAAAAGATATGCAAATGTTCAGAATAATGAGTACAAGCGGGTGAGCCTGGTTGTTCCATTCAGCTTCCATTTAGGGGTCCCTTGTGATGAACAGCTTCCAAGATAAACTGCAGGGATCGCATTCGTTTTTCTACTGGAACGCTTTTGGTATTTGTATTAAACACTAGTGTCATTTAATTTACTGTGTATAAGCAGCAGGCAGTACATGCTGAGATGTACGCAAGAGCTATCGAACAATACAATTAGCTTTTTATCAAACAAAACGTTTTTAGCAACCTGACTGAAAGGAAACAAATAACAATAAACGAATTTAAATTATTCACTTCAATGATACCGAGTTTTGAAAATTGAGCCAGCTGAGAAAACAGTATTCAAAATGGCAGCTATTCCTGCAGGACGGGCTTCGAAAATTGTGAATTCTTATTCCTGGTTAATTCTAAGGATTCTATCAATTAAAGCCAAAATCTTTCTGGTTAAGCATCATACTATATCATATCTGAACACTTTTTGCACGTATAAACGCACGGGATGGTTACTGTTTCGTTTGAAGGAAGGGGAAGGTTGAAAATGAGCCCGAGCTCTTAAACAAGGGAAATTGACACTTCGTGACTTTAGCTATCAGGTTAAACAGGCACATTTTTTCTTTGAATATTTTATTATAATAACGAAAAACATTAATCCACACGTTTTAATTATTGATGCTCTAAAGTCTATGGTAGGCTGTTGCTCTTTAGATGAAAACAGCTTAACTTCTTGCGGTTGATAACCAACAGATCTTACAGACATGCAAATTTGACACTTGTTTTGTATTTTCTATTCTGTGACGAAGGTTTCTGACACGTTAGAAATATGCATTGTTTATAGAACGCTAAATGGCTAGTGCCAATCTGCAGTGATATTTGCTAATATTTGTTGTTGAAATCATCATGTAAGTTACTTTCACATTGCAATGTAAATAGGGTTAGGTAAAATGATTGTGAGAGAGAAATATAAGTCAGAAAAGTTCCTTTTCGAGACCCTCTCTTTCATATCCACGAATGTTGCCCCGTTACTGTGAGAAGATGACTACGATACTTCTGAATCCGAGCTGTTTGAATGTGGTAGTCACCGTTACTTTGATTGTGTTCATTATTGTTTGTTCTCGACGCGTTGCGGTGTTTCTTGTTCTCCATATTTTTATCGATTTTTCGCTGCAATCATTCAATTGGAGTCAGTCAAGCAGCCTGTTACCGTGACCTTTTCTTTATTTACATAATTATATGGTGGCATGGTCTCTTTTGATGTACCGACAACCCTTACCCCCGAAAGCAATAGCCAGTCTGTGATTCTTCCCTGGTCAAGGTTAACGTTATAGAGATAAAATACTAGGTTCCCAATTAGCTCACTTCCAGAAGAAATGGACTTCAAATGAAAGGTGAGCTGCCCAAGGGTGGATCCTTCTTATATAAAACAAATCACCATAGAGCTTATTATCAGTCAGTGCAAACCTAGCATGCCTTCGATGCATAAAAAATGTGGATCATCTTTACGAAAAAATAAAAAGTGCAGATAATACCTTGATGACCCATTGATATTCCACGACTTTCCCGCGTTCTGTACTCAAATCCTGCTTAAGGTTTGCATATAACTTTTCTTGCTCAGTTGCCTGCTCATGAAGCTGGTCAAATGCAGCCTTTTCCATTTCGCTGACTGCTTTTTCTGCATGGCTACATAAATCTTGGCTCTGCTGCAGTAAGCGAGACTGAAAAAGATGTTTGATGAAGTACAATTAGTTTGCTATGGCTCATCTTCAGAAATGGTCTTGCTATCGAAACTTTCTTTATTCTACGTTCAATTATGACTGTATCTTTCTGTACACTAAAGGGAGTCGCAAAAAATGTCTACTTTACAGATGATAACCTTATTGCTTGTCCTAGCTCAAGAGGATATGGTATATATTAGAGTAGCCAAGTCTCGAGCAATTAAAATTAGAGACAAAATTTGTCTGGAACTTTATTTGGCCGAAATGAGACGGCGGACATCCTTCAAAACTTTGACATAATATGCACAGTTATCTTCGTGCATGGAATTTAAATCATCTATTTGCAATGATACAAAGACAAAATTATTAAAAGGACATATGCGATAGCCATTTGTTGGAAACATCTGCGTGCATTGAATATGATGCTAGGCAGCAATCTAAATTGAGCTAAGCCTAAAAGATTCAAGTCAATTTTGTTTGGCAAGCGATTATGAACAAAAGGGTACAAGTAATCTTATCCATGTAACATGGAAGACAGGCCAGATACATAAACAAACGTTTACGCAGTTGTATAATCCTTGAAATTAAGAAATTTTTTTGATCAGGGGGCTGGCTGCTATTGCCAATAGGAAAGAGTGGCGCTGGCTATCGCTGTAAACGCAATGCTATTAACGACTTGTCTTACTTTTCGCTTCAATTCTTCTTTGCATTCCTGCAACTGCTTTTTAAGTTCAATTTTTTCTAATGATAACTGGTTTATCTTGTTGCGTAAATCGTCGATCTAGATAAAGAAAACGATGTCACAATTGCAGGCAAATTTGTCAAAGAAGAGGCTTTTAATAATACGAGTTTAAAGGAAACCGTTTTAACAAATAATATTATTTCTAGTTTAAGTCTGAACAGTGTTATCTTTGCTTAGAATCAAGTCAGTTGTCAAGTCTGTCTGAAACCCTCATCATCCACTGGAAAGTCAAGCTTTGGGGTACTTAAAAGCTAAATATCCTTGGATTTATCAAGTCTAAACTCAGCATAAATCATTGCTGGCACTCAAGGAATATCTTATACAGACGAAAACAGCAAAGGCAAATAATTGTGGTTTCAGTAAAAGCACCGCTCAAGCAAAAGGTTACTTGGCATCTTGCCCAACTTATCATCTGTCTTTGTTTACCATTCAGGCTTGTGGCCAGCAATAAAAGTTTCATAGCTAAATTCAACAACACGGCGGCCAAGGGGCCTTTCATTTGCGATACTCACATATTTTTTCTTTTGATCGTCGTTCAGTAAAAGTGATTTATTCTTCTTTTTCATTTCCTCCTAGGCAAAACATAATTTCATTATCAATTTTCTAAATATACAGCAAAAGCAATTACGAATCTTTGATAGAACCACAAGAGCTTTGCTACTGCACTTTTGTTTGCAAAGAAACAGGTCGATCTTTACTTGCTCAGTTCTCGAGAAAATGTCCTCTTCAGTATTCGAAACATCTTCAAAGTATTCATATTCATTTTCAGACGAAACAAGTGATTGATGCATGTGCATCTATAACCTATTTTGATATGGTCATAGAATCATGTGCATTGATAGCTAAACAGTTCTGAGGAACAAACCGAGGATAGAGTCCAAACTTTTGAGATACCTGAACACAAAAGTACGTGAACATAAAGCCTGAACACGAAGGGGAGGTGAAAAATCGCTAATTTCCCGTACGATCTCCTCTGTAGAATACTTTCTGTGTATTTCTCATACTAAAGACACAAAGAATTCATCATAATTATTTCATCCAAGGAATCCTTTAAAAACTATGGTGGTAAAGAACAATACGATTCAACAAAAAGGCTGGAAATATCAGATTGGTTCCAAACATAGATTTGCAAATATAGAATCTATGATTAAGCTTTAAGATGATAAGACAGATTACAAAAGAGAAAAGAGTAAAGAATAAACCCACAAACCAGAACTTCTTTTTCTTTCGCAGTCATTTGATTTGTTTCCTTAAGCTTCTCTTTCATGTCTTCGAGTAACTGCTTCTTCTGATTCAACTGCCTCTCTAGCCACACAATCCTGCGAAGGGTTGAACAAGTTTTGGTCTGTGAGATTGTAGTTGATTTAATACAGGCTGGCCTTGAAAGTGCAACATTTCGAGCAAATGTGCACTTTAGGCAAAGGTACATGGCAATGAAAGGTCCCCTACGGACGCCTAGCTCAAAAACCATTTATTGGAGAAACAGCAGTCAGGCCAGTAGCTAACATTTGCTTTATATTCAGGTAGTACAAAGGGACAGTTTTTACAACACCTAAATTTCATCAGAATTAAAATTATCAATTGTATTGTATTTGAAAATTTTCTCTTTGAAACTCATTTTGTGACGTGATTTAGATAGATACTCTTTTCCAATAACACACTGATCAAAAAGGTCATCTATGCTTCCAAAGTTTCATAGGGCTGCAAAAAATTTTGAACTGTAGACGGTCGGACGCTTTTTAAGTTCTTGTTTTCTCCAGTAGCTGGATAACGAAATAAACAGAAATTTTATTCAAGAAAACTAATTGGCACTGCTAAGCAACATTTGAAAGATGACAGAAAAACGATTGTTTTACCTTTCCTGAAACTCTCTCTGTTTTGCAGACATCATTTCATTCTCTCCACGTAATGTTTTTACTTGAAAAGATAGCTTTGAGCATTCTGTCGTCGCTAATTTCCATCTATTTTCCATTTCTTTATAACCAATTTCAGGCGGTTTTGTCTTCTTCCTTTCGTTTTCCAATTCTTTTTCTAAATTTTCTCGATCACTGCAACACCGCTGAACTTCATCGGATAACCTCTAGAGAAGATGGCCCATTAACTCAAATGGACAACTTTCTAGCATCAATAATCTTAACCTTTGTAAAATCTCAAACAAGTATTCAAAAAAGATACCAAGGCAAACCGATTTAAAAGTTTATACTAGACAAAGTTTTCAAACATCCTTTTCTTTCTGGGTTGTATAATATCAACAGTACTGGAAACGGGACCAAGACACAAAAAGGTAAAATTAAACAAAAATTAAAGATGCGTGTTATAAAGAAAATCCAAAACTCTCTGCAAAGAAATTTACAAAGAAGAAATCAGGGACAGATTACTACAGCAAAGTGTTTTTGTCTTAGTTTTGAAAAAGAAAACTAAATCTTTAAAACAGTTATTGAGATAAATGACTAGAATTATGTCGGGTAGCATGCATTTATAGAAAAGATTATTACCCATCCCCCTTCTTACTTGGCGTATGCATAAAAACAAAGAAATGTCGAAATTGAACTGGGGGAGAGGGCCCTCTTTCTGTCCAGGATTGCAGCATTGAAATGACGTTGCAAGGGCCTGCACACTTCAATAATAATGCTTACAGACGTGTGCAAACCTGAATGGTGACTTTGCTCATTTCAAGCTTCTTTACTGCAACATCTAGCTCTCCCTTGGCTGTTTCGTTATATTCTTTTTGCTCCTGTAGCTCGGCACTTAGCCTTGATTTGCCACTTCGCAGAACATCTACCTGTCATGAAATAAATTCGAGCTTTTTTGTTAGGATTGGTGGGGGTCATGATGCTTATCATGCAGGAGAAGAACTCGATCTTGGTGAGCAGAACACACTTTGCTGATTTTATGGCTGTGGACCGTTACAGGGGTTGGTAAAAATCAAACCTTGTCTCAAAGTTTTGTAAACTTTGGGGTCTCTGCTTAGAAATGGGTAATTCGTGTGGAGGCCTGATCACGAGCTAAAAAATTCCATAAAACAATGCCAATTAGGCTGTCGTGTCGTAACGGTGGATACAGTTTGGAGACGCTGAACCTAGCAAATGGGTCACGAGAGATCAATAACCACTTCTCAAACTTGACTCAAGGCAACACGATATCTAGGACAAAATTTGACTCAAGACAAAGTGTTTAATGCATGTTACTAAGCCTATAAATGCAGGAGCGAAGCATGAAAGTTTTGACCTGGTTGGAGCAAAGTCCTTTTGGACAAATGAGTCCTAGAACTAATGACTATCAAACACTAACTGACATACTTAAAATACGGTATGGGTAATGAAAGTAATATTTGTTCTTAACCAAGGGGGTGCTCTCTCCTCAATTAGTTTACCTACTGGGAGAGTCCCTCTTTTCAAGAAATTACATCCATACAAATCCCCTTATAAACTTGTTCGTTTGCTTTTTTTCTATTGCAACTTGTTACTTTGATGTACTATGTAACTATTTTACTGGCATCTGTATGAAGTGGAATTTTGAAATGAAATTAACTGAAGTGAACTAAACTGCAATGAACGGAACCGGACTGGACTGAAATGAACTGGAGGATCGTGACATAGCTACTGACCCCACTAAATGAAATTGGCATACGGTCCCTAGATGCTACACCTCTGACACAAGAGAAAAGATAAGACAACATAAATTATCTTTCTTTACCTGTTGCTGTAGACTCAGAATCCTAACTTTCAGACTTGTTTGCTCTCTTACAGCAGGGCTGCTTTTCAGTGGCATTTTCTTTCTTTTGTAGATTTTGCCATTGAGAACAGGGGACAAGCTGTTAGTAACTTTCCTAATATTTCTATTTGGAGTTTGCAGGTCTTCTGCAAACAATTTATCGCATTCTTTCAGGACATCTCTTTCAGGGCCCTGTCGTTTTGGTTTATGGCGAATATGATTAGGTATTCTAGATAAAGGAAACTCGTGTTCTGAACTTGACTCTGAGTCTATCGTCTGTGTACTTTGGGTTGACTGGCTGATTGGCCTTTTGGGTGACAGCCTTCGTATTGGTGATATAGGGCTTGTTTGAATGTACTGCTCAATCTAAAAGAAACATGAAAAAGTGAACTCGTACTATTGAAAACATTTGACGAGTTACCAAATAGTACAGAAGTTGGGAGGTTGGGAGGTTGGGAGGTTGCTGGTTGCGAAATATCCGCGGGCTCGGAAAAGAAGAGAGCAGTCAATAAACGATTATCCGAGAGTAAATGACATTTACCGTTACAAGTAATTATGATGAAGAATCACCAGGACCCGCACGACAGTCAAAGCATTCTAATCTCTTCTAAAGAATAAAGATAGGATCAGAAGTGTTACAGTTCAACAGATTAATAAAACCAGACAAATTAATCAGTTCATGCGTTTGAAATTGACGTGAGAAGCAAACATAGTCTTGGAAACACGCAAATGTGAAAGTCCATAAAACAATTTTTTCACTTTTCTTTTTAGGATTTAATTTCGCGTGAGTGACTAGAATGGTCAGATATCTTCAACTCTCATACAATTTTTCTTTTTTTCTAAAGTAAGTTAACAATTAATTTGATTTCCCCATGCAAAAAAGGCTTCCAGCATCTTCGTGGTTCATTTCAAATCATATTGGATTCGCTGTTTCTTTAGAAAGTTCTTCTCATATACAGAATTTATTTAACAGGCAATAGGCAGCAGGCAATAGTTTCGTGCAAAAGATCCTTATAATCTAACAGCTCAAAGGCAGATGTTGCGCTGTAGCAAATGTATTTTCGTGTGAAAATGCTAATAAAACTAATGTTAGGAATTTCAGAGATGACAAAAACTATGCTGGATACCAAACACAATTTTTGAGAATAATCTTAAGAAATACTTATTTAAATTCTTAACACATCACAAACGGCCTCTTCGCATTGAAAATCATACGCAAAAAGGACTGAGAAAGTAATAAGATATCTAGATGAATGAAGCGGTAAACGCTTTCAAGAGTTGCTGCAATACTACTGCAGCTTTTACTATCGCCATCTTTTGCAGCTGTGGAGGCGCAAGTAAGTGATGACGATTTGTCCTCAGTCATAATTCCTTTCACTTCCATTTTGCATTAAAGGCTGCAACGGCCTAAAGTTTGTAGTTTCTTTGAAAGATGCATTAAAAGGAGAGAAATAGAAAGGCTCTCACCAGATGTCGTTTTCTGTCGTTAACTGAGGTAGCAATCCTGTCCAAAGACTTGTTAGCTTGTTGCTCCAAAGCTTCGATGGCCTCAGATGCTTGAACCTCTGCATCAATTTTATCCCTAATATTCTTGTGAATATGGTCGATTTCATCTGTGAGGCCGACAATCTCTTTTTTATAATATCTACAAGATTAAAACCAATCGATTCTGAACTTCTTTTGATAATCTCTACAAAAGTACTCATGGTCAGATATAAAAAAGTTAAGTTAATAATCAGGAACCTAATTTTTAAAACTAAAAGTAATTGCAGAATTACAATAATTATCAGTTATAAAAAACGAAAACAGCACCATCGTTGGAAACATAAACCCGCTTAAATACCTCACATAATCTAGAAATGTATTAAACTATATACATTGTTTAACTATTTGAAAACATTCGCAATTCGGGTGCTTCTTCGTATTTCCAAAACAATATGATTGTAACATTGTATGGTAAAAGTCACTTCATCATCACCATTCACAATCTTCTTAACGTTACCATGCAAGAAAATCACGCTACTGTTGCCATTAGGTTACCTCTACGTGCATCAACTTTCGAAACTAATTTTTGAAACTAGATTAAATTTTTGGCTTTTTTTTCTTATAAAATCAACGAATAGTAAGTCTTGTCCATGATAGGGAACAGAAGACCTTGTTTTGCCCTGAATGGAACATGTAAATAGTATCTTTTTATTTCGAGTTCGGATTTGTTTTTGTGTATATAAAAAATTAAATAAAAGGAATCTTTGGACTGCCACTCAGTGTTTTTTTTTTTAATTCCAGAACGTTCAAACCTCAAAATTTATGTGAAAAGAGTTTTAAAATTGATCATACTTTTCACGTTGGGTTAAAGCCTCCTTTTCAGCATTCAGCGCTTCATTTTGCAGTTCCAGTTGTTTAGACTTGAAAAAGAAATGGAAAAGCTGCTTAAACTTTAAGGACAAAGCCAAGCCACAAATTAGATAGGAATGTTCTAGTCTAGTCACAAATATTAGGGACACCTGGCTACCTAGGCACCGATCTCAAATTGGTGGATGCACTGACAATATAATTTACTTGGTGAACTAAAGAAATGGAGTTAGAGATAAGCATCGCAAAAATTAGATAGAAACGCTCTTTCGTTGCAAGGTGAATGTTGGCAGCCCCTTGAAATTTAGAATTTTAAGCTACTTGGGTACAAACCAGTAGGAACAACAATTATTCATAAGAAAAACTGAAGGTTCATGGAACAAAAAACATGAAAAGGATCTGATACCTCTCATTTATAATCGACCAGGTTTTTAAAAAACAAAAATATAAAAGCATCTAGAATGTACGCCTTTAAAAACTCTGCAGTCAGTACAGGGGACATGCTCAGAAATGTTTTCTTAGATGGCATTAAATCATTTTAAGAATATAATGTATAAAGTGCAGAAATACATAAACTACCTTCTTTCGCCATATTTCTACCTGAGTTTCCATGGAGTACATCTTTGAAGGACTTACAAACTTCGCCTTTGATTGCATTTCACTTCGAAGCTTGAGGCATTCTTAAAAAAAATACAACAGTACGTAAGGAAAAACGATAACAAAACAAACCTATTACTGAAGTAGCAGCATACCATAGAACGACACCGACAGGTAGATGATATATTATGGCAAAACCACGTGTCCTACTTCAATTTGTTATAATTTTACAAATGTCGCAAGAAATAACACGGTGAGTGAATGAAGGATACTAACCTCTAGCTTTCGTTCACTCAAGGCACTAAAGGCTTTAAGCAGCAGATATTACAGGATTTCCATTATATATTTTAGGTGTACGAAATTGTAAAAATCTTACAAAAACTTCAGAAGGGCTAAGATAGCGCAAAAAATCAAACCAGCCATGGTAAGCGAAATTAAATTGCGAAACGTTAATGAATTCGGGGATACCAAACTGTAAAAAAATTAAAGAAGGAAACAAATATTTACCACTATGTTCATGATCAAGTTCAATTTCCAATTCCTTTATCTTGGCATTGGCAGCCATCGTTTTTACTCGAAGGTTGTCAAACTCCTCTTCCAAATCCTCTCTGGAAGAAAACGATAAATTGCCTTAGCGAAAATTAATGAATGAATTCCAGACATGAGTTTAAGGACGTTTAACGTACTTCAAGGAAACAGGACTTATGGCTCTGAGTTGATATTTGAGATTTTGCTTAAATCCTATGCTTTCAAACAAGCTTTTCAAAAATGTACAACGATTCCAGTGATATATGCAGCTATTAAATGGTCAGTACATATTCAAATATCTCATTTTTCTTGAAAGGATCTTTCTTAGCTTCAGCATCGTGCCAATTTTTCTGCAGAGTTTAAAACAAGACATCAAAATACCAACATTCTTTACCTTTCCCAATCCATAAGCCCAGTACAGCTCTATTTGTCTCATATCATACCTTTCGTTTTTGAGCAAATTGTATTGCTTTCTGTAGAATGCTAGTTCATTCCAAACAGCTTCGCTATCCTCCCGCTGGAGAGATTTGGGGTCAGCACGTATGTTTACATCATTGATTGCCTTACTGCAGAAAAGAAAAATTAAACATCGTTTGAGAAATTCTTACAGAATGCGATGAGATAAGATTAATCACTGCAATACTAATCATATGAAGTGACAGATTTTGACAAGAAAACAAATAAAAGTAGAAGAAATATTCAACATCATACTTAGAAAAGGACCAAATTGAATAGAAGCTTTGATAAATTATCGGCATCATATGAACAATGTTGGTTTACTTACAGTGGTGCATCCTGCTGAAATGTGAGTAGTTGTTTGTTAATCATTGAATAATTCTCTTTCAGAGATTTGTATCGTTGGAGTCTGCGAGAATGAGCCCTTCTAGTTTCTTGAACTTCGATGTCCTAGCAAATGCAGATAAGAAATAATGTAAACTAGTCTTATTTTTAACAGAAAGGACGTCATAAATGTAAACGAGTTATTTTTAGTCATTCAAAGGACCTTATTTACTAGCTTAACATGAAACCAAAAAAAATGGAATTAAAAATGGCTTCAAATTCCAAGTCTGTTCTTAATAAACATTCCCTTTGCATGAGCTATTGTATATCTAAATTCGTTTCTTTTAGCACTTGGGCTAGTTTTGAAGTATGATGGGATAATTCAAAACAGCGTTCATTTAAAAACATTGATAAGAGCAAAACAGCTTAAAACATGATGACTTCAGACGAAACACGTTCACATATTTATATCACATATTGCTGACAATCAGAACACAACGAACCAGGGAATAAACTATGAGAAAACACTCTTGGAGGAAATTGGCTAAAATCATTTGTCAATTATTTGATGTCTAAATGTCTCACTCGATTATTTAATTAGGTTTCCCAAAGCCCAATAAACGTTACCTTCAAAGTCAAAAGAGTGCTTAAATCTTCAATCTCCTTTTCCAGACTTCTAATCCTTGATTTGAAATTTGAATTGGATTCGGCAAACTAAAAGCGTAGTTAATTGTTTTTAGTGTTTAACCAAAAAGTTTAATTGTTATGAAGCATTTATTTATCACCAAAATATTATCCCAGGAAGGCTGTCTGATAAGACTGTTTAAATCTTCATTCAAAGAAAACGCTGAACTGTATGAAGTAAAAGTCGAGAGAACTGTTGTCATGTAGGGGGGGGGGGAGGGGAAGACCTCCATTTTTCAAGCAAAATGACGTAATATAGTGCATAATATCACAGGAAACACCTGATCATCATCTTGGGTTTGAAAACCAAGATCTACTATATATAGGCAAAAGAAGATAACCTCGCTGTCATTATCTTCTTTCGAAACCATATTCCGCCTCCTCTGTTCGCTTAATACTTTTTCCAACGAAGAAATTCGCCTGAGGAAAATAAGCAAAATAAAAACTTTACTTTGACCTGCTGAAAAGGTATGTTCTCAAAATACATTTATCAAAACCAACCAAAAGGTGGCTAAAATCTTATCCTTAAGAGTAAAAACGTCTCAAATGAAACTATTTCAAAAAACTCTTGAAATCGTAACCTAAGTTACAAACTTGCTACTGGAACGCATCGGCTGGAAAAGAAAAGTTTAGCAACAAGAAGTAGTTTCCAAAAATATTAAATAAGATATACCTTTCAAATCGATTCAAAAAGATAAATCCATAGATTTTCAAACGAATTTATTTTCGATCTTAGATTTAAATCCAAGTGATTATTTCTATTCGTAATGATTACATTTTGATCTGAAGCTAGCTGTATGATTGTGCATATAATAGCCTTTTTGAATCTTTGGCTGTTTCGCTTTGAATTAAAAACAGACAAAATAGTATGTTAACGGATACAATCTCAAACGTTTAATTCACGTGTGTGTGATTCACCTTCCTTTTTCCTGTACAATGTCCTTTAAGCTATCGAATTCGTCCTTCACATCGTCTAGCTGCTCCTCTAGTTCTCGGCAACGGCTACAGTTCTGCAAGATGTTAAGACTGTTACATCTCTGCTATTGGCTGTAAGGAGTTCTATTTCTTAATATTACTTAACACTCTCCAATTTAGTCCCCACGTTAAAACATAAAGTAACTATAGTAATTTCCAGTGACGTAGAAATACAGACGATAGTGTTAGGCAAAATATTGTTGGAACAGTTGAAAAAACTAAACAGAAACTTAATATGAAAGCATGACAAGGTATGTTAGCAAACACTCGTTGCTGCTTGTTGCAGACCTTTATAGTTTAAGTTGAGTTTATCATAGAAACAAGCTCTTAACCCTCAAGCAAGGTTTGCTGACTTGAAAATGAGGACTATTGCCATTAAGCAATTACCAGCAATATTGCCACTAAGCAATTACCTCTGTCCAAAAATCTAATAAGTTTTTTCCATTTGCAGCTATTTGTCTGCCATGCATCACATAACAAATATCCCTTGCCTCTGTTATTATAAAATTTGTACCTTGGTGACAGGGGATTCAGCAAAGAGAAAGAAAATTGTGCCAAAAGTGGTTGATAAGAGAAAACTGATAAAGGAAAGCGACAGCTGTAGTAATACATAATTCTATATTAAGTGAAACAAAAAACAAAGAGCAGTGGAATTCTCACCAAGTCAACAGTTTGAGTTTCCGAGTCAAAACCCTCGTGTTTTGTCTTTAAACTTTCCTTTAGATCAGCAATCACCATATCTTTATCTATATTTTCTCTTTGTCGTACACTCAGACTCTAGAGATAAGATTGTATCTATGAAACATCTTTATCAAAGTAGGTTTTTTAAGTGTCACATAGGTTACGAATGGCTGAGTTATTCACCCATTCCTCATCTTTGAAAACTCAAGGTTTTTGAAAACATTGAGTGAAAGACAGGACTTGAAAAAATATACTGCGAGACAATTTGAGCGAGTGACACCATCAAAACAGTGTCTAGGCCATGAACAAAGTCACTGTACGTCGTTGCTCTACCAACTAACGTACCTGGCCATAGATCCTTTGAGCTAATCCTAATCCTAAAAACTTCTAAGGAATTCTAAGGAATTTTTCGAAATTCTAATCTTAAGTCAGTTCTATTTAAAAGTGCTTTGCTACCAAGGTCTAATTGCTGCCACAATTCTGTTTGAGCTAACTTTAAAAAGTGTGTTCTTTAAAACAACTGTAAATGGTATAACAACAAGATACACAGCATTTTAGATGGTAAAAACGTAAAATACTTTTATGTAGAGAATATCAACCTTTCTTAATGCATCTGTATCGCCATGAAGTTTTTCGCTTGTTGATTGCAGTGAAAGGCATTTCATTCTTAGCTCGTTCAATGTCTGTGGGAAAAATCATGAAAAGCTGCTGAAAGGTTGCAAAAAAGCTTCAAAGATTTGGTCTTATAAACATGGCATTTGCTTATTGTAAAAAAGGAATATCCAAATCATTGGTGTCACACATGTCAGAATGGTGTTTATTTACATAAAACAACAAACAACAACTTAATATATGGCTACTGTAGCCGAGAACGACATGATGTCATCGGCACTAACCTATTAATTACAATGGAAAATACATATTAAACTGGGAAAAGAGCACTAATCTGACAAGCTTAAGTGTTGCTTGCTAAACAAAAGCCATATAAAAAAATCAATTGAGCGCTTGCCAATGAATATTCTAGGATGGATCGGCAGTAGAAATTGCAATAGTTGCTGCGTAAGATGATTTAAGTACAAAACAATAATGTCAGTACATCGAGAACAAAGCATTGTCAAAACAAGTTTCAAATTTTTTAAGTGTACAGATAAAAGGTATAACATACATTTTTGTACGACTTAACCTCAGATTTATGGCTTTCCTGCTGGTTCTTTAGTACTAAAACAAAGATATTTTTCTTCAAGCTCGAAGAAGCAATGTTGGTAAGAGAATTTTAAAGCAGCCAATATCATCATAAGATAAAATATTCGTTTTTACTGCATCAGAGTTGGTGGCGATCTTGAAGGGGTACCAATAACACCTTGTTAATAAGATAGTATGATAAATAATGTAATAAAACAATACTGCATAGCTAAAAAATACGACTAATGGGTCAGAAATAAACAAATTATTTTATTAAGTCTTTCACTTAGCACAATAAAATAGGGATGTCCTAAGCATTTCAACTTAAAATTAGACGATTTAACATTTTAAAGCCTTTTATATTTGTTCTATGCTTACTTAGTTGCGTCTCATCCTGTAAAAGCTGCAAATTCTTGATAATAGCATTCTGTTCTTCAATATGATTCAAGCACTCTTCATGGTCGTATCTCATCTTTCTAAGTTCAGAGCTAAAACAAATGACTGGCTGTCAGTTGAAAATCAGGAAACATAATAAAATTAAAATAGTTTGAAAAAATTAACACGCGTACCTCAAGGCTGCGATCTCGGCGTCTTTCTGCTCAACTTGCTCAAGCTGCTCATTTACAGCTATAGTCTCTTCCAGAAGTTGTCCTTCTCGTAACTTCAACTTTGAAATCTTTTCATCATGCTGATAACAGAATAAAATAAAACTTTGATACGTATTACAATTATGCTTGGTATATTCTAATTTTTAATAGATACGAATCACGAAGCAGGGAAGATTCTGCAAAGAGCTGTAGTACTGAAAATGTTTAAACTATCAAAAACAGAACTACAGCGTCCGATGGTGGTCACAGAAACAAGTGGAATGCGAGATTTCATCATATTTGAAAAATGTAGCTATTTCTTCTGAAGGCATTTGAATGAATAACTACAGAACTAAATATACGACAAATCGTCATAAGATGAAAGAAAAAACTTGATTGGGTTTACCTCGCGTTTTGTGAGTTCTAAATCTTTCTCAAGCACCTTGGAAAATAAGCAAAAACTATTGTATTAAATTGTACCGTGGTAAAGTTAGAGCATTGTGTTATGGCGATATAAAATAACGAAGACGATTAAAATTTGGATTTACAAAAAAGTGAAGTTAACATCATCAAGTTAGATCCAACACCAATTAATGCCCCGGAAATCAGTAAAGCTGGGACTCAGAAAAGTTTTCAATCGTTTTCCTTAATAACTATACAGATGTTCGTAATATAATTAGTTGCAAGAAATGGGTTAAAGGCCTATTCTTTCGAAACAATTATTTTTGAAAGGCCTATTCTTTCGAAATAATTCACTGGAATAATGTCTAAAGACAACGTCAATTTAAACCTAAAATGATGTCTTTTGGCTTCTAGAAGATTCCGATCTGTCTTTACTCCATCAACTTTGAAAAAGGTTTATTCATTCTATAAATTCGTCATCTCCTTTACAAATTAAGCATAAAACTTTATTAAAGTGCTTTAATTAAATTCGAAAGAAAATTCAAAGCTAACCTTAATTTTGTCTCGAAGAACAGTATTTGTCTCCATTAATGTTGCAGCACTTGATTTTTCTTTGCTCAGTTTATCAACTTCAAGCTCAAGATCTTTGATGCGCTCACTGCATTCTAGTAGAAATACAACGGATTCTACTAATAAATTGTTTGCAAATATTGCTATCAATTAAAACTGATGATAAAGACAGCATTTGTTAAAAATAATACAAAACGAGATAAGACATGCCTTTGTTTGATTTTGCCAGAGCTTCATTTTCAGCTAGATAGTTTTTCCGTTCGTTTTCGTTCTGGTTTTCTCTTGCTTTCATCTAAAAGCAAAAAAGAGGTGAACTGTTTTTATCAAAGATACATGAACAAAATTTTATAAAATCTTGTTTGGTCTTTGAAAGAAGGCATAGTCTCGAAAAAGGACACAAATATTTTCTTTTTGAAAAAGCTTTCTTTATAAACACTCCTTACGTTTTTCCAAACTTCTTAAAAGCATCTTCAGAAATAATTGCACAACTGCTGGGCATGGAAGAAAAGTAACCTGATCGAGATCTTTCATGCTAAGGACATGTCGGACAAACAGAAAAAGAATCCATCTCCCTGAATAGCAAAAATTGAATCTGCAAGAACAGATCTGTATCTCAATATCCTCAGCAATTTCATTCAATTCAAGTCACCATTGTCCTTTAATTAGTTGGCCTCAGATGAATATCATAAGTGAAATTCTGAACAATCATACATAAATAATATAAAAACAACCTGAGCAGAACAGGTTGGAAACTGAGAGCAAATACAAAATATCTGAATTTCAAATTAGTTCAATTAGGTTTGTTGAAATGATTTTCTTATTCAAAAAAATTAATACATCAAAATACACACCACTTCTTGTTGGTAAATCTTTTCTTCATCTAGTTTCTGAACAGTCTTTCTCAGTTCATCAATCTTCCCTTCCCATTCTGTACGATCAACAAGCAGGCCAGATAGTCTTGAAATGACAAAAAATCTTTTAACCAGAATCGATACTCATAGTAAATAAAAGCTATACAAACTAAAATGACAACTAGCATGCATATGATTGATGAAAAAGATGCAATGCTATGGGGTTTGGAAGTAGGCCAAGCCCTTTTTGCTTACAGAAGAAACTTTCATTTGCTACTGTTCCCCAATGATTTTTGTGAGATTCCCCCTTGTCCACACAACTGATGTTACATGTTATATAATTCAATTCATATAGACCCACAAAATAAAAAATGAAAATATAATGATGCTTATTAAATTACCTTTCCATTGATTGTTTCAGTTGGACCTCTAAATCTGCAGCAATCTATACAAAGATTCACATTTTAAGCATCAGAAACAAGATGGGAATACAAATTATGCAAGGACACTGGACATAAGCACTAACTTGCTTCAATAAATCATGCAATAACAAAAATAAATTATAGGCAGAAATAACACAAAATGAAAAGAATAGTCCAAGATAAATAGAATATTATTCAAAAAACATTAAATTAAAAAAAATAATGTAGGAGTTAACTAACATTTTGCCCCAGCAGACAAGACCTTGTCATGATAAAGAAAATTGTCCAAAAAGTCTGAGAAAATAATTAAAATGTTGAGAAAATTTAAAACATATTTTTGCAAGTCAACAAGAGTAAGTCACCTCTTCTAGTATTCTTATATTGTTATCCTTTTCCTTAAGAATTGCCAAAATTTTCCTGTCCTTAGCTTCTGCTTTTTCTTGCTCTCTAAAAAAATAAAACAGGCCTGTCATAGGAAAGACAGACACCAATCTTAATTGAGATTCATCCTAGCCAAAGTTATTGTTAATCAGAGGTTACCACCAAGGATGACAGAAGTAGAGTAATTGAATTATACAATGGTAAAATTTTTTTCTGACAACCTTGATAATATGAAAGACTTTAACATGTTTGATACAAATGCAGATTCTTTTTGTTGCTTTCAGTTGTTACGACTACATCATAATGAATTAAATGAAATGTTCATAAATTGACCTTCGTGTTTCATAAAAAGTCATTTTCGCACCTTTGAATTACCATACTGACAGCTGATGACACATCTGGTTTGTCTGCTTGAAGGCGTTTCCATAATGTCCATACAAAATCTTTGTCAGCCTAAATCATAATTAAACAAATTAAAAACAAATATGAATAAACAATGCTGTTTTTTACCCAAAGATGACTTGAAATTTAAACCTAACTAGAAGTTGTAAAAAACAAGAAATAAATACCGAATCTTTTAAAGTATTTGGTTCTACATTGTTATATCAACAAAATAAGAAAGGCACAAGTCTTTTCTATTCCCTTTTGAGAATAATCCCAGTCATGGCTAAGAAATTTTTACCCTAAGACTTTATCTCAAAAAATGCACACTGTGGTGAAAATTGAGATTTGCTTTAACATACAGACAATGTTGCATAAGTTTGCTTACATAAGTCAGACTCAGTTTGCATACACTGACACAAAAGTCTGCTTTAGAATTGCTCTGATTTGCAAATGATAAATGGTCCCAACACATTTGATATAAATGCTATCAACTTTTATCACAAAAATCAGATTTTAAAGCTAGATACTTGCATAAGTCTGTCCTTTATAAAGTCAATTATGAGAAATAGCATCACAAAAGTAACAATTAATATTTATAATTAATACATATGTTTTGAGAGGACTATAGGCACTCAGGAGTACTTTTCATGAGAATCCTTTATTAAATAAATAGTAATTTGCCAAAAATATTATATTTGCATAAATACAAAATATAAAAATAATAAAAATTTTATTAAAGCAAGGCACATATTATAATATTTTGTTTAAAGGTATTAAAGTCTCCTGCTAAGTCTAATATTAAGGTTCATTTTATGCCAATCATCTATGAACAGATAGAACGACATTTGCTTTCCCCAGTTTGCTTTTACTCTAGGCAGACAATATTTTATTTGAAAATCAGATTTTGCAATGAATCCAATAAACATTCATACATCTTGATCTCATTGGTCCTTTTGAGAACCTTGATAATATTTTTCAAGACATTGCATGCAAATTGATATCATTATCAATCTATACATTGTTTACACTGTGGTGCTTAGCTTAATAAGGCTTTCAAATGTTAAAATCTGCCTCTGTGCAGCTTTATTGATGGTAAAACATATGCCAAAACAAAGAGTGATGCTTACTGCACTAAGAAATATGATTTATAGGGAGTTGACACAAATGTCAAAACCATTCAACCGGGAAAGAGTGAAAGTTATTTAAAGTCTTGACATTGAGTATTAAGATGTTGGTTTTGTTAAAAAAATAGGACTTCTAGCTTAAGGTAATTGCACCAGACAACTGAATCCAGTGAAGATGATCATTCTTTTCTCCTGGAACCTCTGATTATTCACATTAGATTTTAAATTTTTTTACCACTTTGAAAAACTTGTGCTTGAATTAAAAATAAATTTTTAAATTTCATATATCTTGGGTTAAATTATGAAAATTCATACAAATATTTACCCTGCATTGTGTGAGCTCTTCAGCTAAAGATTTATTCTGTTCCAGTAGCTCTTCATAAGTGAATTTCACTATAACATAAGGGTTGCAATTAAAAAGCTGCAAGTTGTAGTTTTTTACAGTATATCATATGTTTACTTTCTCTTGTAAATTCAAAACAATAAATGCACAGCCAGTCTTGCAGTGTGTTTGTTAAGCAGTTAAGCAGTGTGTTTTGGTGTTGCTTTTTATATCAATTTTTTGCATTATCATTTTCCTGTTGGTGCCTATCAGGACAGTCAAGTTCAGCAATTAGAATGAAGAACAAGATTCTCTCAGCATATGGTATACCTGATTCATCTAGTTCTAATTTTTGTTGAAAATGTCCTCTCAATGATCAACAAGAAGAGTGACAAAACAAAGCAAATTTCCAGTGTTATTAAATGACTAGCAAAACAAAAAGCTGCATTTGTTAAAAAAGTACGCTTCTACAAAGCATGGATCTAGGGTGAGGCCTGAAATACACAGTGGCTGAAAGACATTTTTCATGAGGAGGACAAGGCCAATAAAAAACCAGAAATTTGTTGACAAATGACATAATTTACAGACAAAAGCATGTTTAAACCAATAAAAGAGCACTCACTGCCATTCCTTTTGGAAAAACCCTTCAGGGGATGACAGGGGGCCTTTTTGGCACATAACCAAGTTTGTTAAGTGGGAAGTGTGGTATACTATGTCACTGACAACAAACTTCTGGTTTTCTTGGTAAGTCCCAAGAATAATTTGCAAATTTTTTTTTCATTTTTGAGGTGCTAATTTGCCTTTCATAGATTTTGAAAAGATCTTGGGTGTGTTAGCAACACTGCATTTTAGTTGTAGTGCATAAAAATACTTTAAATGAAAGATGTGCATAATATCCTATTTTTAGGTCATATTTTTAGGCTCAATTTATGAGTACCAAAGCAAAGGACCACAAAAAAGAAATATGGGGATTGTAAGAGACTGAAGGCCTAAAATTTTTGCCAGATCATACCAGTTTTATATTCTAACTTTAGATGCATTAAATATATTAAGGCTGGGAAATAAGGATCAATTTAGTAAACTCCGTGGTTTATCTCTATCAAAGCATATGAATCAGTGATAAATCCTTATGGGGGAAAAACAAAAGTTGATCTTGCGTTATATTGTTGGAATCTGGGACTTTACAAGCAATGGTTTCAAAGTAAATCAAGCCAACCATATTGGTAACGTTTCCCCCAGTATAAGGCGCCCCAGTATACGGTCCAGCCCCAGTATAGGGATTGTCAATCAAGATTATGTTCTTAAGTGCCGCCAAAGCCTTAGATATTTCAAAGTCTTTGGAGAGATTGCTCTTTAGGGCTTGTTTAAAAGGGGAAGGTTGTGAAAATGTTCTGAAATCAAGATTCAAATTTCTTGTTCTTTGTTTTAAGGTAGGCCATCACCATCAGTTTTTCAGTTTGATGGTGGTGATGATCAGAACACTTGCTATTGACCAAGCATCTGCGCACTATACTACTAAGTTTTGCTGCCTCTGTAAAATACTTTGCATAATAAAAACTTAAAGAGTAAATTTCAGTACCTTCTCTGTTATCAATAGCCTCTTCTGGATGGTCCATCTTTAGCTTGAGATCTAAATCATATAATTGCTACCAGCGAAAATATTTTCGATTTACCCGCCATTACATCAGGAAACGACAGGCTGCGCACAAGCTGTGGAGGATTCAGCCTCTTTTGGAACTTAGATTGTTGGAGTCCGCCATGACACAAGGAAGCAAATAAAGGCTTTTGAGAAGGTTATTTGTGAAATTTCTTAACAACTAGCTGTTAAATTTGATCTTTCAACAACATGAATGCAAGAAGAGAAGCTCGAAGAAGGAGGATTTTGGAAAATTCGGAGGATCGACTCAAAAGAGTAATGGGAATGCAGTCGTCAGCAAGGAAAGTTTATGATGATAATGACGGTGATGAACAAAGTACCCAAAATGAAACAACCTTGGAAAATTTAGAGGACAAAAAATCATCATCACCCTGTTCTAAAACTAGTGATTTCTTAAAAGGTAATGAAAAAGTGATTATGGAACAAGATTACATAAGTAAGATCATGGACGAGAATATCTCAAAAGAGGGCCAAGACACCGATCAAGAAATTTTTTCCCAAACTGAGAAAAATCGTACATCAACGTTGTCGAATGAAGAAAGAGAGAATGTGGCGGATGCCGCAAAGGGATTGTACAATGTGACACTTTTGTACCGAATATTACTTGTCTCAGTTCTTGGTGTATTTCTTGTTACTATTTGCACCCTGAAGAGTGTCGGTGACACTTTACAAAGACAAGTATGTCAGTCATCATTTCTACCATATTTTGTCACAATGGAAATAATTTTTCTGTACCATTTGCCAATAAAAGACACTACTAATAATTCTTCAATGATACTGCTTGCATTGAGATTAAGTGGTTTCACAGAAGCTAAACTACAGTATTTGCTTTATTTGCTCAATTTAATGTCAAGAATAAGCCAGGATTTCTGCTGGTTTATTTTTACTGTTGTTTTAGCAAAATTTCTATTTGAACGTCTACTATGAGAGATGTATGTGTAAAAATGATTGTTTTTTATTCTATATTGAGTTAGGTCTTGAAAGGCATAACCTTTTGGTTATGAAATATGTTCTAGCTGCCTGTAAAGCTACCTAAAACAAATCTTGGCTGCCCCTACTGTTTCAAATAAAAGTGGCTTTTGTCAGAACCTACACAAACTCTGACAAGCTGCCGTAATCTCACCAGGTCATGAAATGAGCCAAACTCTCGTAAATGGTTGAACAAGATCACAAAGCACTTCGTCAAGTCCATTTTTGTTTTGAAGCAAAGTAGATCAAAAATTTTGGAAAATTTCTTATATATCACTTCAATCAAAATGGCAGACCTATAAATTTTAGCATTAGGGAATTGAGCTAACAGTGATTAACAGGTGGGGAAACAATGGAACGAGAATTTTGAAAAAAGATGTCTAACGAAAATTTAACATTAAAAAGTGTGGAGAATGTATGTGTAATAATTTTTTCAATGAAACGCTATATGGTTACCATTATTTAGAATTTGCCGAAATGCCCCAGGAATGAGATAAATGTTTCTGCCAAATTTCCAGACCAGAATGGAGTAATTTAGAAAGAAAAGAGGCAGCTTTATGGTGGTAAATATTATGTAAACACAACCTTGAGTTTTTTGGGGCAGACAGTATTTTGGGATTTTTAGAATAAATGGATGATAAGAGCAATCCTTTAACTACCTTCACCACTTTTCTGAAATTGCTTATGCTATGGATCACAGCTCCCTTTCAGATCATAAAATTTCTTAAACAACAACCTACAAGAACACCTTAAATGGCAAAGAATTTGGCTTGGTAGACAGTGTTGGTAGGCATACTGTTGATGAACAGCTTAGTATAAGAGTATGAGCTACAGGAAGCAGCCTTGGGTAACTGCACAAAAGCTGAACCGCTGACAACCACTTGCTGTTTGTACTTCTTCAGAAGCGACATATTTCATCAGCAAGTCCATGACCTTATGACTTTCACCAATACTTCTGTGATTCAAGCTGCTGTTGAGTTAGTTTTCATGAAGCCATGGTGTCTTTAATACGATTCAAGATCATTGAAAAACCACACAAGTTTTGACCTATAGAATTGGGAAAAAAATGAGCTGGATAGAAATGATCTTGAATTAGATACTACACAAACAGATGCAGCTTGACATATTTTTTGCAAATTCTCTTAACATTATTGTTATGAGGGTATTGTTCACAGAAAGATCTTTTGATTTTGAGGATAAAGTCAATTTTTATTTGATTGGGCAAAAGAGTAAATAGATAACTAACGTTGGGAAATCTTAACATGAAGGTCCATTCATAATTCACGTAAAAAACGTTAATATTTTATCAAGTTACCATTCAAAACATTAGTCAATTAGAGCAAGATGGTCCTCTAAAAACTTAGCTCTCCACTTTCTAGCTTCAGGTTGTCTAGCAACGCTTGAAGGAGAAACTATACCAACATAAAGTTCATATGCTCGAGACCAATTCAAACTTGCACGCTTGTCGCTTTGGCCCTATTATTCGAGTACTGCTCCAATGAGCACAAACTCCTCAACCATGAAATCTGTACCAAAAACAAAAGCCCAAAGGTACCGGAAGAATGCGTACCCTGTCACTTATTGAACGTGACTAAATTCCATATTATCAAGCTGAAACCTTTTATATTTAGAATCAACACCTAGCTAGATAAAAAAGCTTGAAAAATCACATATGAGATGCTTTTGTACAGTTTCAATCTAATAACAATGAAGCGATCATCTAAGCATAAAGGCAGAGATCTATGGATGAAAAGTAAATTGTCGTATCATATCACCGCTTCAGTCATATTATTGGCAATTTGTTTATTATTTCTACAACGTTTATGAATGTTATCGTGGATATAGAACTTTGTTTATGGTGCAATGAATGGACTGATAGCAGAAAGCATTCAAACTGTTGCATAATACCATCGCGGAGTACGAATCATTTCAAAGAAATACCGCTGAATAATGATGGTTTTACTTTAAACTTTTTTACTACCCTGAAAACCACAAAGAAGTCAAATTCATAAATAGGAGCAGGTTGTTTGTGAAGATTAAATTCTCAGACCAATCACTGTCAGCAAGACACACGTTAACTGATAATAGCCTTTTATTTTCTCTGAATTGTCATTCATGGTTCCCTCGAGACATAATTCTACTCCAATGTTTACAGTGATGCTCACTCCAATCAATTACTAGATAATTTTCATTTGGTCTCGACATTGAAGAATAACTTGTCGAATGTTATGCTTGTCGAGAAATGAAAAGAAGAAGAAGGGTAGGGGAGGAAAAAAATTTTCTTAAGCAATATGGAAACCGACATCATTTGTTCAAGATGTCGACAAGATCTGGTTTTGATGACATCAGCTGAAACACAGACTGATGATTTTGCTGAAACTGAAAGTGCCATTAAGAATGAAATTGAAATTAGTAGCAATGACAGATTTGCTATAGATTCGGGTAGTCAATCTATAGAGCAATGCATTTCTGACGTAGCCGAAGAAATTCAAGTTGATCAATCAATTGGCAGTGATTTTGGCGAGATTCCAGGTTATGCTGTGTTTCAAAATGTTGTTGATGAGGCACTCGATGTGGACCCAAGTATGGAACTTGGAACAGCAGCTGAAATGTCAAATCCTGACAATGAAATAGTTGTTTTAACAAGGAGTTTTGAAGCACCTTCAAATCCAAAGATGCGCTGGAAGAAAGCAGTTAATACAAACAAGGCTGTTAATCGCCTTTATTCGAAAAAGAGGCGCAATGTCGATGAAAATGAGATGTTGGATGAAGGATTACCTCTCTCAGATAAAGAAGATGAGATTCTATTTGGTGGGGTCCGTAGAATCGTAATAAGTAATGGCCGACTCAATGTGCGCCAGCACGATTCAAACGGTGTAGCCTCTTTTCCAGAAACAAACGATTCGGTTAATGCTGATGACAGTAGTGTCCTAAGAGAGGTCAAAGAAGAGGCTTCTATAACGGAAAATAATGGCGATTTGCATGACGATTTGCATGACGTTTCTGCTGAACCTGGAAGGGCTAGCGAATTAAAGAAATTTGCCGAGATCAGTGAAGACAAGGAAAAGCTGAGAAGAGCAAGCAGCGTGTTAGGACCAAACAAAAAATGTCTTCAGGTGCAAGAAGAACATGAGAACATTGAACCTGAAAAAGACTTGGGACTTCTGAACAGCAACAATGAAGCATTCGATGTTGTCGTATTAACACGGAGTTTTGAAACCACTCCTGCGGCAGACGAGGGAAGTGCAGCTCATCAAAGGTGGAATAATTTGAAGAACGCGACAAGATTCTCTAAAGCAGTAAATCGGATGAGGTCCATCAGGCAGCAAAGAGATGAAAATATGGCTTTGTACGCAAGTGACCAGAATGACCAAATTGTCATTGGTAGTGGCTACCGAAAAGTCAGCATGAAAACAGTTGACGAAATTGTTAAAATTTCAACAACAAAAAATCGGTTTTGGAGACGCAGGTCAAGATTTAGCCTCACATGATACTGTCGATAAATCTCAAATAGAGATTAAATGGTGACTTTTTACGAGGCTGGCCTCTTTTTAGGATGTATGAGCCCACAGTCATTAATAATTTAACTGTAGATCGTGGGCATGTCTATCAGAGCACTTGTAAAACGGATGATGTTTGAATGATATTTCAAAGTATCAATGCCATAATTGTTCTAAACTGTGCGTCTTTATTCATATAGTTGTTTGAAATGACACTTTCTGCAATTGAAGCTTATAGTTGTTTAATGTTTGCTGTTCCAAGTTACTGAAATAAAATGTCTACGCCGAAAACCTGAAAAACGGCTGCTCCTTTCTTATAAGTAAGTTGCAGTTGCAAAGATACGTGTGTCTTTATCCGCAAGCCTTTATTCACAATTAAAGAATGACACCACTCTTGCAAATTTTCATAAGAAATTGTATATGTATAGGGTTTTTCTGAGCTGCTTCAAGGACTTTTGCATTTGCTAAATACAGCAGTATAAAAAATAGTTTAATCTTTCACACTTGACAACCAACATAGTTTTTCAAGCTATGGTCAAAATGTGATGAAAATGGCTCTTAAGCAGGTTTCTCTCCTTTTGCAAGTTTTTGCGAACA